AAATTCTTACCACTGTCTGTATATCTATATTGTCGACGAAGAATGACAGTGCCTAAAATACTAACAGGATTTATAAGCAAGTTTTTCTTCGCATTGCCTTCTGAGGCTGGCAAAAGAACATGCGGCATACATGCAATACTAGTACACTGGTTCCCATTACTGGATTACAGCAAGAATGATAATGAAAGGGGGAGGGAGCCAGCGTAGAACATGCTCAAATTTCGTGAATGTGAAAAATTTCATGCAAGAATGTTGGAAAATATCAAAACTATCAACATGGTAGTATTATCGCCCGGACCTTTATGAACAATCTGAACAGCAACTTTAGAAATTTGAATTTTGGGGTTGGGTTGCCTTAATGGGTACTCAGGTACCGGTGTTATTGTTTCAATCTGTTACCCGGCCCTCTTACTACACCTGCAAATACACACCCGCAATTTAATTTGGGTCATTACAAACATTGAGGCCTACTTTCTTTGGGAACGTTCCTGGAAACACAACTTTTTAATGGACATGCCCTCTCACTGACACTCTTATCTTCGTCCTTTATCAGTATGAGGATCAAAGGGGTCGTTCAGACACCGTCTTAAATTCTTTTAAAACACTGGTTGAACTCGATTCAGTGTAACTTTCTTGCTAAAACGATGTCTGACCGCTTTTATATTTAGACCGAATCGAGTTGAACTCAAAAATAAAACGGCAACTTAAACCCCCTCGGAGGGAGGGTTTCGCGAATAACCAGAACGAGTTTATCTTCTAGTACGATGTCTGAACGGTTTTAGCTAAAACGCTTCCCGGAGTTACGATGTCTGAACGCTTTTTTATTTAGACCGAATCGAGTTGAACTTGAAAATAAAACGGCAACTTAAACCCCTCGGAGGGAGGGTTTAGCGAATAACCAGAACAAGTTTATCTCCTATAGTACGATGTCTGAACGGTTTTAGCTAAAACGCTTCCCGGAGTTACGCAGTGACCCGGAGTTATGTAACGCCTTCTCCATGGCGCGCTTTTCTATTAAGCAAACAATGTCTTAATTCTCCTACCGTAAAAAAAAAATCCAATTTCAAGTCCAATTTCCGCAAGTTTTCTGACCACATGGTCCGAGTTTCAATCGTGCTCATGTTGTGCCCATTCTTGAAAATCACGCATTCTCGAGAATGGGCATGCACATTCTCGAGAATGGGCGCGCATTCTTAAGAATGAGCGCCCATTCTTAAGAACGAGCACGCGTTCTTAAGAATGAGCGCTCATTCTTAAGATTGGGTGGGAATATCACGTGCACAATTTATGAATTTTGCCCAATCTTAACAAACATTGCACGACATAATCATGTTAAATGAATTGTATAGCGGTTAAAAGGGAAACAATTCATATAAAGAGGAAAGAAAATGTGCTATGCTTCTGTACTCGTATAACTACGATAATTTGAATCAAATTAAACCTGTTATTATTGCTTTTTTCTGCCCACTATGGGAAGTTTTGTAATAACGGAGGACTGGGAACTAGTCTGGGAAGTGCTTTGTTTAGGCTAGACAAGTTACAAGTCCCTGCATGTATCATATGCGTGCCACGAAAAAAAACGATGTCCAGAAGCTGCCAAAATTGCTCTTTTGACTAGATAGAATCCAGCTCTGCGACGTTATGGTGGGATGTGAACAATAACTTGGTGGCAATTTAAATGGGAAATAGCATTAGCACTATGGGATGTCGCAGTATTCATTCTCATTCTTCATTCTTACGTCCCCCCCCCCCCGCTTTTATTATCCCAAAAATCAGAATTCTTTGCACTAGTATTATTATGTCTCTTATATTTTCCCGGTCCCCCCCCCCCCCATATTAAAACGCCTTTACTTATCATATCCACTCTACTTTTCAGCGCCTTGCGTTGCAACAGTATAATTATTGAGAATCAGTGAACGAGGATTCAGCTAGACTTGCCAAGCGCAGCCGGTGCTCGGCATCGACAAGACCGTTATCTTGTCGCGCATTCTCGAGAATGTGCGCTCAATCTGGAAGAGTTATTTTTTGCCAAGATTGAGCAAGGATCCAGTTGCACATTCTCAAGAATGTGCATGCCCATTCTCGAGAATGCGTGATTTTCAAGAATGGGCACAACACTCACTCGCACACACGATGCGATGACAAACGCGTAGATGCCAACGCAACAACCGCTAACCAGAGCATAATTATCATAATACACTAATATATTCAACTACCAGGAAAACCTTAGTGTTGATTGGTCAATATTGCAACATTAATATTACGTGTATTTTCACGTGACTGACATGCTGTGCGGGCAAGTTGATGCAATAAACCTTGAGTAAAATCTGTTCAATGACGTCTTGTTTCGAACACTGGTTTTCGAACAACTTTTCAGAACATTTTTTATGTCTCTTTGCACCACGAAAGGTACAGAAAATAGCCCCCAAAATGTAAACACAAATGATGTATATGTAAAGCCGATGTACGATACTTCAAAAAAATGGGGAAGTTGCCGTGGTGGACAAGTGACTGTCGTCATGTTTACTGGCGTGCCACGCAACATGACCGGCCAAGGCTGCGACGTCAAACACGGCATGGCAACACACATCACACGGTGAGGGGCTCTGGGGTGCATACCTGCAAATAAACTCCCATAGACACTAGTGCTAAATGCCCGTACTTCAAAATTCTTTTAAAAATACTCAAAACTCTCACAGGTATTCAAGCTGCACAGAAAAATGATGATCAATGTGTCATCTTTCATTTTCTTTTCAATTTATGGTGGGTTGACCATTGACTTTTCGAGATATTTTCACGCAAAGAAGACGACCCCTATTTTCCCCAAAGCGGAAAAGTAGCCATCTTGAAAAACGATCCCTCCACAACATGGCAAAATAGCGCCACTTTCGAGCCCAATAGCATCCAAAATGCTCAGAATTGGAAGCCCCAAGTCCGGGCCAGAGGTTCACTACCATATCCCTTCAATTCCCCAATTTTACGGCGCTCAGAACTCTCTAATATAGAATATTTTGAGGGTATAACTTTTATTCATGAGCTTGGCGGATCGATTTACAGGTGTGTACCCTATAATAGCAGGCAACTTTTAAATTTTAACACAAAATCACATTCAGGACAAGCAGAATATCTCCAAAGTCAATATTTTGAAAAAAAAAATGAAAGAAAAATATTATCCGAGGAAGATATTAAGCCCGAAAATAGTGATTGTTTTGCCCCTGCTAAGCTGTAGAGCGCCCCCAGCGACAATAAATTGAGTTCCAGCTACTTTTAAGCTCAAAATGCCCCCCCCCCCCCTTTTTCAAGTATCAATTGTTGTAATCGGGTGATAGCCTACTGCTCCCTTATGATTTGGAAGCATCCGTTACGGCAAAAAACCCTTGTTGATACCTTTAAAACATTTTTTCCCCCTCCCCGTAGGTTCCGCCCACTGAAAAGACCACTGCCGCGGCACAGCGCATGCGCGAAACGGCCATCTTTGTGATTCTTTATAGGGTGCATACCTGCAAATAAACTCCCATAGACACTAGTGCTAAATGCCCGTACTTCAAAATTCTTTTAAAAATACTCAAAACTCTCACAGGTATTCAAGCTGCACAGAAAAATGATGATCAATGTGTCATCTTTCATTTTCTTTTCAATTTATGGTGGGTTGACCATTGACTTTTCGAGATATTTTCACGCAAAGAAGACGACCCCTATTTTCCCCAAAGCGGAAAAGTAGCCATCTTGAAAAACGATCCCTCCACAACATGGCAAAATAGCGCCACTTTCGAGCCCAATAGCATCCAAAATGCTCAGAATTGGAAGCCCCAAGTCCGGGCCAGAGGTTCACTACCATATCCCTTCAATTCCCCAATTTTACGGCGCTCAGAACTCTCTAATATAGAATATTTTGAGGGTATAACTTTTATTCATGAGCTTGGCGGATCGATTTACAGGTGTGTACCCTCAGACCACGTGTAGCGAACTGTCAAAATGGAAGAGTGAAGGCTCTTTTTAGCGCGCAGTTTTTGCCGCGACGGATGTTCTACGTGACCTTAGAAACTGAGATAAACTGCTTCGAGTTGAACTTGCTATACTTAAAACGATGTCTGGACGCTCGGTAGTTTTATTTTTACGACAGGCCCCCCGTGGTGAGCGACCGTTTTAACTTTTACCGTTTTAGCTAACACGGTGTCTGAACATGGCCATAAAGTACAATGAAATCTGGACAAGATTTTTTGGTCATGATACTGCATGTGCAAAATTACATTTTCAGAGCTCCAATATTGACATGCGTCCATTGGATTCTTCTTCCTCTCACTGTGCATATATATACCTTTCGGTTCTGGAGTTTTTGTGTGTTCTGAGTGATTGTCAAATCACATGTATGGTAACGTGTTTGTTTATTAAACAGTGCCTTGCTTTGAAACACGTAAATACGCTCTACAAAAAAAAAAAAATGACCCAGCAAATTATTGACCCTCCGAACAATTCTGGCAGGCCTGGCCAAACAATAGCTGATAACCCTGTACATTAATTCTGAACCTGCAAAACATAACACAGTGCATCGGTTGTAAAGGTCTGTGTGACCTTGCTGCATTGAGTGGTCAACACCAGTGCACAAACACTGGGTCAATGGGAGATTGATTTCGAAACTGTGACCGATGACGTCATGGAATATTAGAGCGCCCTCTAGCGGCAGGTTGAAAAATGTCCAAAATGCATTTTGAATAGATGTCTGTGGCGAAGTTTGAGACTGTAATCTTTTGGAAATTGATATATATGATGACCTTCATGCAAACAACACATGTGTGAAGTTTGAAGCCGATGACGTCATCAGACGGGAAGTTACAACGAAAAGACTTTTTGTTCTTCAAAAATCGCTAAAAAATCAATCGTGAGAGATATAATCTTAAATTGTCCATTAAATGATAGATTAAGCATTGGCGTCAATTGTGCCAGGCGCGTGGCTTGTCAAATTGTTCACACACACGTGACCCGCCGCCGACAAAAATACCCTAACGGTAGTCTGTCGCTCAAAAATTCAATGAAAGCGTAGAGCTGGGTGTGCGTGAGTACACTGCATTTACAGGACATCCATTGTACATGCATTCAGTGGAGATCCATTATTTCATCATTGTCATGCTTGTTGGAACAGAGCCAAACATTGAACAATGCCATTGTCCCATTGAACAATGCCATTATTTCATCATTGTCATGCTTGTTGGAACAGAGCCAAACATTGAACAATGCCATTGTCCCATTGAACAATGCCATTGTTGAGTTCTGCTGTACAGTAGGTGAGCACAGACTATGAGCCATTTGGGCCTTGGGAATTTTGAACTAATGGATCAGCCAAGTCTGGGACAATGAGAAAAAGTTCCATTGAAGAATTCCACTGTTGTATCCTGCTGTACAGTTGACGACCACAGACTAGATTCTATAAGGACACTGGGCAGGCTAGTCACTTTGGCAAGTGTCGCATGTTGTTGCGTCTTGCACGATTTCTAGCCAAAATACCCTAGAGCGTTAGGATTAAGACAGCAGCAATTATTAAAAAACACTCTTGAACGTCCGTATACTTGATACAAAGATGGGCGGTCCTGTTAAAATTATCATCTGGGCGTCGCCCCGCACATGCTCCACAGCTCTCCTCAAGTGCTTGAGCAGCCTCCCAAATGCCAAGATCTTTGATGAGTTGTACAGTATTGCATATCTATTTGGGCCTGACCGACTGGATCAGAGTCCGACCGGAGAGGAGCCTCAAGCTAGCCAGGCAGGACAGGGCAAGGGATACGCCTTCCCGAGCTCTATCTGTACCTACGAGTGGATCAAGGAGACCCTCCAGCAGGATTACCCTGGCGAACAGGTCATCATCTCCAAGGAGATTGTTTACTGTCTCAACCAAAAGTATGATTGCCTCCCGGAGGGTTACCGCCATGTCTTCCTGCTGCGACATCCAAGTAAGGTCTTCCCCTCCTGGAAGAAGCTCACCTATGAGGTTTCAAAGCAGTTCTCAGCTGAGGTTCCGGAAACTCTGGATGAGTTTATCTTTGATCAGCAACCCCCGCACCTGCTGCCCCCTGGGATGTCCTTCAAGGAGGCCTACGATCTGTACCAATACGTCAAGGAGAAGAAGCTGGATGTCGATCCAGTTATCATAGATGCTGACGATCTTGTCCAGAATCCAGCAGCCATCGTTTCAGCGATGTGTGCCAAGCTGGGGATCCCATACACTGAGTCCCTCCTGACCTGGGACAAAGGCACAGACGTCCTGGACTCTTGGACTGTTGGCATCGCGTTTAAAAATATCATTCAACACTCTGAGGCCTATAAAAACTTCCGGAACAGCACTAGCTTCCACCGCCCAGAGTTGGAGAAACAGGCTACCGCAAGGCCTGTAGAATCAAGAGTCACCCCAGATATTGAGCGCTGTGTCAGCTTCAGCATGCCGTTCTATCAAGAAATGTACGAGCAACGTTTGCAGGCCGACAAGATTTAAGATATCCACTGGACTCCATGCATGAATAGTTTAATGCCACTTTCGAGCACTCGCAAGTGCTCCACATTTTGTGAGTACACTGTTTCCTGCACGTACTGCACGAACTACGCACCACTTCTTTAATATTCTGTATAGGTACACTAACATTTTCACGGGATCATCAGGCGCCATCGTCAATGCATGATAGAGTCCCTCCCACTGGTCTCTCCCAACACTTTCTTCGTAACTGATAAAAGTGTACTTGTGCATGGAGCCCATATAAGTGTACATTGATAAAACTTTGGATTTTCAACAGTCAAATGAAAGCAGATCAGATTTTGGTTTCGACAGAGGTAAGGCCATTTTCATTTTCAGAAGGGTCCTTGCATGAAAAAAAAAATAACTCTAAATATCTGTCGGAATATTTCAGGAACGTTAAGACCAAGTTCAGAACAATTGAGGATATTACTTTTGTGACTGCAATAATACCAAACCTGCAGAAACATTACTGTGAGATGTACATGCTCATTTCAAAATTGTCTTGATACATGTATAAAATATATTACATTTCTGTTTCAACTTTAGAGGTGTTAATTTTCATTTGGGGGTTTAAAAACAGAGTGACTCTATGGGCAATTTTTAAATGGAAATTTTAAAGTTTTTAAAGAACCAAAAAACCATCAGCAGATCGGCAGCAAGACAAATTGTAACGTAAACTGAAACACAAAATGCATGTGTTCTGACGTCCGACAGTCACATCAGTGATTGCAATTTCCACATGGTACAACACAATTTGAAGCAGGCACTATCATTTTTTATACAAACAAACAAATATACTGTAATAATTGATAATAACATTGAGGAATACTCACATTGTATTGGAATCGCTGGCGAACTAAAAAAATTCCCCGCATGCGCTTCGGAAAACAACACATCATCATGCCCCGCTTTGGAAAGCAACACATGCGCTATGCACATCCCGATCTGTCTTGTCGGGGCCTCACTGACGGGCTTTGTGACAATAAGTGCTGATTGTGTTTGTCATAAAAGCAAACAGTTCCCTTTTCAGTTCCAATCTCTTCAGATTTTTAATTTCAACCATGTTTGAAAAAACAGGTTTTTTTTTAATATTTCTGTTTCAACTTTAGAGATGTTTGTTGTCATTTTAGGGGGGGGGGGTGGGTTAAAAACAGAGTTACTGTATTGGCAATTTTTAAAAGGAAATTATGATGTACAATTTTTAAAGGCAATGCTTTGGTTTTTTCACGGCCATGGTATTCCAAATGTGCATGAACAATCACCCTGAAAGGTACTTTCAAATATTCTAGATGCATGCACACCAAGTTTCTTTTCAAATATAATACATGTAGATTTTGTATTTTAAAGCTATAGTCCATCATTTGCAGCCATCCGAAAAAGTAACTGGCGTATTATTGTTGAAAAACATACTTGATTGAAAGATAGTAAGTGGACTAAACTCCCTGTGAAATTAATCTTTCTGGCAAGCTATCATTTTGAAGTAATCAACGAAAGAAGGCCTTTCCAATGGTGCATCTTAAGACGCACCGTAGGAAACTTTAAATTAGTAGTTCGTTTTGTTATTCGGCGCAGTGCGCGCAAGCATTGGCACGACGCACAGGCGCACGCGGTTGCTATAATTCGTCGGATCAGTGCGCGACATCGCGTATAGCTGCAATTCAAAACAATTCAAAACATGATTCAGCAACTTTTGATTTGAAATTGAGATCCTAGAATGCTGTTTTTCTCAAAATATACAGCTGAAGCTGAGCTGAAACTTCATCAGGTTAATTGTTCAGTATCCTTCATTAGATTTTGAATACTTTTATTGCTTCAAACGAACAAAATGCACAAATTACAAATGATGGACTATATCTTTAATAAACTTTAGGCCGTGTTGGCTGTTTTCCCATCGCAAGTAGTGAGGTACTGGAATTAAATTTTCCTTCATTTTAATTAGTATCATCTGTTAAATCTGTTAAATCTTTAATTAACGCACATGTTTGTTATTTTGGAGGGCAAGTATTGATGACTTTTGTGGAGCAAATGTTTTATGGTATTACCGCATGTGAAATTCACCTTGACCAAAGCATGACCAAAGTTAATCAGCATAAAAAAAGTGTTGTTGACATTTTTCAACAACAATGTTTGGTATGTTTTGCACACAAAAATGGGGAGCCAAGGACAATGTTTGGTGTAGCCGGATGTTGGGTATAGCGGTGTTTGGTAGAACGACGTTCCACTGTACCTACACTTATGACCAATAGACTTTTTTTCTCATTTGTAAATATTGAGTGCCATTTTGTATGGGCTGCCATTAGGGAATAAATTAAAGCCGTGATTGGCAACAGATTTTGCCAAATATTTGATATAACCACCCTCGTAGTGTAAGGAAGAGGCGTTTTTATTAAGTCTTTAGTAGCATTTGTTTGTATTTAGTTTGTACATGTAGTTTCAACAACCTAATGATATGTATTGAAGCATTGATAACTATTCTTTATTTTTGCAACGTTGGCCTTCCATAGTTTAAAGGGACACTGCGTGTAAACATTGATAAAATAAGTACCTGCACTAAACTGAACAAACATGTATAGTGACCCTTGAAAAAGTAAATCCTTCATTTCATTCTTTACAACACTCACAAAGAATTCATAGTTTTAAAGTTGAACAAAGAAAAATCAACTGGAACGGGGTTTGAACCTACAACCGCCAGATTGCCGTCCCGGTGCTCTACCAACTGAGCTATCCAGCCCTACCAGTACGTGGCGGATCCTTATTATGAACAAAGACATTGACAAAATAGGGAACTCCAACATAGGGCTAGATAGCTCAGTTGGTAGAGCACCGGAACGGCAATCCGGAGGTCGCAGGTTCAAACCCCGCTCCACTCAATTTCTTATAATGCACCTAGTAATTTCCACTTTGTTGCTTATTTTAAATATATATATATATATAGAATTCATATTAGGCCGAGTAAAAAAAAAAAAAGTTTCTCGTCCGGGGTTTTTGAAAAAACGGAGGAAGCGGGGCTTTTTATTTTTTTCAAGATGACCGCCTTTTCAAAATTTCCTGCAACCGTTGGTGTTCCACTGTTCAAAGACACTTTTAAAGATGAAAGACAAGTTGGACAAGAGAACTGAACATATTCACAGTGTCATTTACAGTTGTATTGGTATTGGTATTTATTTTCCGATGAATTTGTAGACTTTTTCGGTGTGTTTCTACTACATTTTTCAAAAATAAAAAATAATAAAAAAATCCAGGCGGCCTCCAAAAAGGAAGCGGGCGGGCACGAGAAACTTGTTTTTTTTTTTACTTCGCCTTAGAATTGTCAGCCAAAATAATGAAACATTAAAAAGCAAAATAGATGCAAATAAGTTACATTCAACATTTGTAGAATATTAAATGGAAAAGTTTACATATGTGACAAAATTGGCTCATTTCTAGTTGTTGCAGGCAAAATATGTTTTAAAAAAAAGGGCAATTAGAATGAAAAGAAATCAGACTCACTTTTTGGTAGATCTGCAACGCCTTCTGCGCCTGACTACGGGTTCCTGCGTCTAGTAGCGCATCAGCCTGAACTGTCAAAAGCGCCCTCTTTAGTTGCGAGGCTGCCAGCTGCTTGCTAACGGTCAGTACTTTAAGCCCTTCGTGCAGAACAAAAGTGCAGATAAAACATTGAGGAATACACAAGAAAGACGAGAGAAGTCTAGTAGAGCTGGTCCGAGAGTGCAGAAATTTCTTTTTAATTGATTCAAAAATGGATATTCACTTGTACGTCTTTTTATGCGTTTGGTCTTAAACAAAGGAGTGTCATGGCCTAACGGTTAAGATCAGAGCACCGGACTCATGCTCTGGTGTTTTAGAGGCAACAGTGACATGGGATCGAGCCCGCTTGGTGGACACTTGTGCCCTTAAGCAAGGCACTTAACCATTATTGCTTCGTCCTTTGGATGGGACGTAAAGCCGTAGGTCCCGTGTGTTGTGTAATCCAATGCACGCAAAAGAACCCAGTAACACTTGTCGCTATTAAGAGAAGGGGTTTGCCCCGGTGTTTCTGGTCTCCTGTATAAACTCCCACGTGCAGTATTCAGGAGAACCAACCAAGAACAAGAACTGGCTGGATTTAGCCCATTCATTGGTGCCACAGGGTAATCCTATACAAGAGCACTGCCCAGCTTGCAAGTGAGAGACAGTCAGTCAGACAGTCAGTGAGATAGGTACAAAGAGAACATTAGGCTGGCACTCCGCGACCAGCAAAAATATTCTTTGTCGTTATATCACAAAGAAAGGATGTTCATCCAATTTTTGTTTTTTAATTTTAATTTTCAATTACTCACCTTCCTTTGATGACTCCACTGCTGCCCGGTTGTCATGGAGACCAAGCTGGGCCATGGCGAGATACAGCCAGCCGTGTACATTGTTTCTGCTTCCATTAAGACCTAAAGCGAAGATTTAAAACTGCTTATATTTGTTCGTTTAGGCTTTTTAAGTGGATTCTAATGCTCGAGTTGCCTATTCAAAAGTTGCTGTTTCGTAGTTTGAATTCCTCCCTTTCGTGTACAATCCCAACATCAGCATTTGGGACATGATTCTCAATTAGCCGGTTAGTAAAACGTGATGTTGAAGTCCCAGTGGATGGGTAATCTGCGCAGTACATGTTTTAAACAAATGTGATGCGATCAATCTTCACAGTACATGTATTTAACAAATGTGATGCTATCAAGCTAAATGAGTCGTTTGTTGGGAACTTTCATTTGGAGATACAGGCCAAAAAAGGGCCACTTCATCACATCACTTCATCACATCTATTGGTGTTCCGACTTCCATAATTTGTTAACTAAAGATGGTATCAGCATGCAGTTTTCACAGCAGTAATGCTGAGATTGTGCTCTTTTCAAATCTGTTTAAAAAAATGACCAGGGTCGACAAACGACTCGTTTAGCTTGATCGCTTCACAAATATCTTCAAATTTGAATTGGGGTGCGCATTGGAATCGGGTACCCGAGTACCCAACCGCTGATGACAGAAACCAGTTCCAGAATACGGGATCAGGTACCCGTAACCAACTTTACAAGCTACTTAGTAACTTCTCAGACAATGAAAAAGAGAGGTTTTGAATGCCAGTTTGGGGGAATTTCTAAAAATGAAAACCAGGCTACATGGAAAACCAAAAAAAATTTCACCTCTATGTGTTTTTTAACGCACAACAGATGGCGCATGTGAAAGTTACAGTTTACACCATAAACCTTCGGACATCTTCCAGGATTTGAATTTTGGGGTTGGGTTTCTTTTATGGGTGCCCGTGTTTTACTTCAGTGTTCCTCCCAACTCTCTTTTTGTAACCGTTGAGGGGGTACTTGCCTTCTTGAAGCTTGTCTCTTGCAAGTAGATAATTCCTGCGGGCCAGGCTGGTTTGTCCTATTCCCAGGAATGCTGAGGAGGATGTCTCGTCCAGACTGTGTAGTTTGGTATACACGGACTCCGCTACTTCGTCGAGGCATTCTGACCAAAAAAATACGGCGGGGCAAGCCCAGTAAAGCTGATCCTAATTGGCACAAAATTCTATTGTATCGATTCAGGTTGGCTATTCACTGGAAGTCTTTGCGTGGCCTACACAGTGGGCCGGATTTCAGCCCATTCATTACCATTAGGCTGATTTTTTTTTTCAAACTTGAATTACAGATTTTTTGGGTCCACAGGCAAGCGGAAAAAAATCCAAACATGTGGGGGCGTCCTTTACAGCGCGCACCCATTATGGTGCACCCATAAATTCAGACACAGTATTCGGACAAGAAAGTGCTCAAATGAAATGTCGCTATGCAGCTTTACTGCACAAAACTCATCAAAATTTACCCAGGTTAAGTTATCAAACTTAACTTTGGACTTTGAAATCAACCAAATCACACTAAAATTACATACATAAGGAAGGAGAAATCACATTCCCAAACTTAGCAAAAACCGTTATTTTATATCTTGTTCCAAACAATGTTTGCTGCCTTTGTAAATTTTGTTTGTCCGTTCTGCCGAATGTATTTTTGGCGACAGGAACCTGTCTATGAACATGCAGTACATGTATAATCGAGCAACGAGCATGGATCAAAAATCAAGGTGGTACACTGGCCTACGTTTGGAAATGTACAGTGATTTCTTTCTCTACTTTTGGGGCTAGACGCTGGGAGTGCTGTTTAAACGTGAATCAAAACCTTGTGATTACTACTTGGAAGGTAAGGCTTTTTCAGATTTTTAAGAATTTGTCTGTGGTTGTGAGTTGTTTCCCAATTTTTTTGAAGTGGGGGTATTTAGCATTGGTGCCTATGGGAATTTATTTTGCTGGTCGTCACCCGTAATTCCACAACAATATGGTTAATCCATCTCCAAAATTGGAATCTTTGCCTCAAAAGACAAATATTCCCAGTTTCACTTGGATAATTGCATTTCCTGGTTTTGTAACTCCGAGTAATCATTGACTGATTTATGTTATTATTTTTTTTTTTGTTGGAGCAAAACTTACCTGGTTTGCACTTCAGATATATCCCCGCCAGGATTGTCAGAGGGTAGGTATCTGAGGGGAATAGTTCGTGCATCCTGAGGCATTCTGTTCGGACACGATCATCACTGACGTCATTGCACTGAGAAGGAAGTCAAACAAAAGAAGTGTCTGCTAGCGTTACAATTTCTTTCTTGGGTTGGGGGATGGGGGGGGGGAGTGGGAGAGAAGCAAACGTGCAAGTTTTTCAAAAGGCTGATAGTGACGCAACGTTTGGGTAGAATATGCATGTAGACTGTTGTGGCTTAGCAGTTAAAGTGTTTGATGACGATTGCCACTTATTCAAACTTTTTTTTCCTGTCCCTGTTACATCTGACCTCTACTTTTATTATTTCATAATTCTGATGCACTCCTTAATGCAGTCAACCTCCAAGAGTGATTATGACTAGCAAACCAACTACCCAACAAATAAAAAGTCATTTTAAGTCCTTCTTAGCTTGAAGTCATTCTTCATGATACTTGAATGGTAAATTACAAAGTACCAAGGTAATAGGGACAGGAAAAATATCACACTTTTGGACCCTAAATTTATAGAATGAGCCACTTATATCTGTTTTCCTTCCCATTTTAAAAGCTTAAAAATAAAAATGATTTTTTTTTCTGAATCTACAGACCATTGAAGTCATTCACATACATGTACATGTTGTCTCCCATAACTAATGAGATTTAGAGACTAACTAACTAACCTTCGACAAGAACTTGATGTAGTTACCAAAGTGCTGCTGTCTGTCCTCTCCGGACTCCAGAATAATCTTGTAAGCTCTCTCCAACTATAAATCCAAAATTAAAACGCATAAGGGCAATTCCACGCAAAAGTGGAAAAGGCTGAAAGGTGAAATATTTATGAAATCTTCCAAACTACAGGGTGACTCAAAAAACGAAACCCAAATGTCGGACCCATTGTTTTAGTGAAATTCTACATGGAGCACTTTCAAAATCTAGGATACAAAAGCCCAATTCATAAGCTTTCTTTTAGTTCAAGAATCATTCAAATCACTCATGTACTTTTCAAGTTATGGAATTATAAAGACAACAACCGTTTTTAAATTCTGTCCACGGATCACAAAAAAAGTGTGCATTCTTTCAGCAAAACGAAAACAATTCACACACATCCCTATGTGATTCGTTTTCGTTTTGCTGAAAGAACACTTACCTTCTTATGATCAGTGGACAGAACTTTAAAACAGTGGTTGTGTTTAAAATTTCGTAACTTGCAAACAATATGAGTGATTTGAATGATTCTTTTGCTAAATAGAAAGCTTATGAATTGGGCTTTTATATCCTAGATTTTGAAAGTGCTACATGCAGAACTTCACTAAAACATTAGTCCCGACATTTGGGTTTTGCTTTTTTTGACTCACCCTGTACAAGCACCAGAACCTCAAATGTGGTATCAAATTAAAGGGGGCAACAAGGGGAGTCAGGTTGGCGCAGTGGTTACTTTCCTCGCCTTCCACCGCTGTGGCCCGGGTTCGAATCCTGCCCTGGCCGCATGTGGATTGGGTTTTCAGTCCCTACCAGATTCCGTGGGTTTTCCTCAGAATATTCTCCCGGGTTTTCCTCCCACCTCTAAAACTGTTATTTCTTCTCACTGTCTTCTCTCTACAGGTTTCTTCAGGCTTGCGAGCTACAGTGCCTGGGGCGCTTTTGAGGAATTCTTGGTGTCATTACCAGAAAGGAAGCAAATAAATAAAAAGACCTTTCATGTGAGTGATGTGGTAGCAACATGGAATACGGTAAACTGAATTTTTTGGTGCAAAAACCCCTGGTTTTGGGGTCAAATTAAGGATTTTAGGAAAATATTTTGGCAACGTGTTTTTAAATGCAAAATGCAAGTCTTATATCGTGAGTTTTTGTTTTTAAGGCAGAGAGACAGGTAAATATTTTATTAGATAAGAAAGTATAAGTAAATGTTTTTACTGTTGAGGTCTTCAATCACAAACTTTATGAATAACTTTGAAAAATGTGGTTGGTCACTGCCATTCTCTCACTGAATCTCCTGCAAGCTTTTGGAATATAGTCGTGTTCCCTAACGTGGCGCACTTCGAAGCTTACCCAACTTTCCTCGTGTAGTGTTACCAAACCTCTTAGTTGACAAACCTCAAATTCATGCAGTAAAATACTGGTACTTTTACCTTATTAATGCGTGCTATGTAACCTCTGTGAACAATTTCGGTTTCATAAAATTTAATCCGAAATTCAAAAACGGTGGCGTCCGGAAATTGGGCACAAATTCGCGGAGTGTTCCCTAACGTGGCGCACTTAAATAAAACTCGGAAAATTCCAAATTAACATTTAAGAATTTCTGTTAACTTGATAAATTCTGATAAATCATTATTATCTCTACTTACATACCCAGCCAGATGTTTGTCACAAAATTATTTTCGTATTTTTTCGGGGCATTTTCAAAGGGTTCACTTTGTACTTGAAAATAAAATCGGAAAATCACGCCAAAATAAATGTTTCTTCTTACTTTGTAACGGGTAAATAAACTCGCGATTTATGAATGGGAGTGTTTAGAACTTGATGAAATGTCGCTTTCTGTGAAATTTCAGTTAAAACTTTTGCTCTAGGTAGGCGCTACAGGCGAAAAATCAAAGTGCGCCACGTTGGGGGCCGCGCCACGTTAGGGTACATCAACAATAACATCAACATCAGATTCGAACCAGCCAACCAATCCCGGCAAGCTCGGTGGTCGAGTGGTATTCGACGTCTGCACTAGAAAGCAGGAGGTCGTCAGTCCCATCCGAGTCCCACCCGAGTGATTTTTTTTCTCACTTTCACTCGGGGGGTAACACGTACATTGAGTATACAGTGGTTAAATGTCGGTGAAGGGCAAAACCTAATAAGGGAATAAATGTGTGCTCCGGAGGTTTTTATCACTCTGTTTAATACCACTTAGAGTCTGGGTGCTGATAATTACTCGAGCCGGAGGCGAGGGTAATTATCAGCACCCAGACTCTAAGTGGTATTAAACAGAGTGATAAATACCGACGGAGTACATATTTATTCCCATTCATAAATACCTTTTCGGTAAAAAAAAATCATATAATTCGTTCAAAACATCCCGATTTTGTTCAACAAATTCACTTTATGCTTTTTGAATCATCCCTCCTGCAAAATAATGGAGTGTTCAGCTGGCGAGTAAGATGAAAACAACCCTTTTATGGAGATTGACGCGCGCGTATCATGTTCTATGCGATGTCGCGCAGAACGCACCTGGCGCGTTGCGTTTTGAATTTAGAACTATAAAATTCTAACTCCCTGGTAGTGTTGCGCATGCCTACGTGAGGATTGTGAACGTTCAACCAATGAAACGATAAGAGGCACTGGATTTTTAGGAGTCCACATTTTATTGTGACACTGGAAAAGTGTTTAAGACCAGCTAGCCATGTCTTTATCATCCGTTTAATACCGGCCACGTGACGGGCTCTCGACCAATAGGAATGGCTAAACTGTCTGAGGTATTTATGAATATTGAATTAATATCAACTTGGATGCAATATACAGAACTTTGCTTACAAGCATGATGTACTCCTCTACCAATGCAGGCACTTTGGCCAATGCATCAGCTATCTGAATCCAGTGTCTCACACTCGCTGGTGCGTCTTCACTCTCTTCTGATTGGATGAGGGACTTGAGAACTTGAACCGCCTTGAGAGGGGGAACGAAAGACTTCAAACTTAGTTCATTTACTGATGGACCATTTTAGCCCATACCCTCAGGGAAATTTTGGCTAGAAACCCTGCTAAACGCAGCAGCATGCAACACTTGTCCTAAATAGTCTGGCACCATCCCATTTAACAGTTCACAATATATAAAATACATTCAGGGAACCGTTGACCAAAATGGCGTCCTCATGCATAAGGTCCACACACGCAGTAATTTTTCTTTAACATATAGCCAAGCCTAGTAAAGCTGGTCCCAGTGCACACAAAATTGATTCTGAATGGCTATGAAGGTTTTTCACGAGACGTCACTTGACCGGCAAAGGCAGTTCAGGAAGCGTACCAAGTCCGCGTAGGTGCGCATGTGCATTTTCGAATCTGTGTATTTGTAATGGCAACTCCGCGTACGCGAGAATGCGGAGAAACTTCGAAGACACCTGTGTTTCCGTGCACATCTGCGTAAATTGAACGCCGACCGTCCAAACTCACGTGACTGAAAAACTTCCATTCACTGGAAGTCTTTTTGTGCATGTGACCAGATTTAGCCCATTCAATGGTGTTGCAAGGTAATCCTATACAATAGCACTGCCAGGCTCTCTTCACCAGCCTGCAACCACACTAAGCCCAGGCGGGAGTCAGTCAGTCAGTCAGTCAGTCAGATAGGCACAAAGAGGAGAATAGGCTGGCCCTCTGGGACCAGCAACTCTATCGTCCAAAAGTAAACTTTGTCAAGTGGCAAGACATCTGCACTAGAAAGCAGGAGGTCTTGGGTTCGAGTCCCACCCGAGTGATTTTTTCCAATTTTCACTCGGGAGGTTACACACTGAGTATACAGTGTTTATACGTCGGTGAAGGGCAAAACCTAATATTGATTGACATCACTCCGACGCAAATTCCATCTTATAAACTTTGTTCAGTCATCCACTACATAAAAAACTTAGGAAACAGATTTTCTTTCCACAGTTTATAATTTCCTGAAAAAACATTGGTGGCCCTTGATTATGGACTGATCGTTCATCATGTTCATCACCTGCTCTGTGTCGCCCAGTTCATCCTGCAATCGCGCCAGTTTCTCCGACACCTCGCGCCACTTTTTGGGGTCTTTGGATTGAAACAGCTCCCTCAGCTGACTGTAAACGCCGGCGAGTTCCGGCCGATGGTCCGGGTTCCCGCTTTTCTCGTAGAACCCAGCCAAACCCTGCGGGGAAAAACAGGACAAATTGATCATGCTTATACTTTGCCATGTGTGTTTGGATCAGTGTGTGCAGGCAATATGTCCTGGGATGAAGCTTTGACGAATGGTCACAAGCAATATTAATTTTCATGCAAGTATTTTGTCTTTTTCTTTTTAACCAGTTTGCGCCGGGAATATTTGACCAGAACGGAACGAGGCTCAGGATGATTTTTCACTCGACCTCAAGCCAGGTGGGTTGAAGCCATCACCCTCGGGCAGCCCACTCAGATTTCCGGCCTCGCTCGCTGTGAGCGGGTCACTGACAGATATTTCCGGCCTCGCTCCCTGCGTATTTATCCGTCATCCGTTCCGAATACCGAAAAACTTTGCGTGTATACACGTCGTCCGGCGCAAACTGGTTAAGAACAGACCTAAATGCATAGCAGCCATACACCTGGTGCACAGATGATAATGTACACTCAGAATGAAATTGATCACGCTTATAAATACTTCGCCATACGTGCTTGAACCACTGTGTGCAGGCAATGTGTTCTCCGACAGAGCTTTCACAAATGATCAAGAGCACCACCTACTCTTCATGCAAGTACTTTTTCTTTTTAATAATCAAACCAGAAAAAGACTGTTTCAAATTGATGCTGTAGTCATTCTCCTCAATAAAAGGAAAACAAAGGAAATGGAAAATTCGGCACTCTTTAGTGTCATCTGAGGTCCAGCCTCTCTCCTTCAACCCCCCCCCCCCCTCCCCTGGCATCCCCCCCAAAAAAAAAAATCTTAGAAGACGATAGGAGAAAGGGAGGGAAGAATTTGATTCTTGTCACCTGCCAAGCCAGAAGTTGTTGTTGATCGGTCTCGATGGCTTTCCTGTAGGCAGCCACGGCCTGGTCAGGCTGGTCCAACTCTGCTGCGGCTACCCCGACAAACACCAAGGCGTTGTAGTTGGTCTTGTCCTGCTTCAAAACGGCCTGTTCGTAAAATAAATGACAGAAGTATTTGTCTATGGGGGTATGGATTTTGTTGGCACAAGTACCCCTCGACATTTACAAAGGGAGTTTTGGGGAGACCACCCGGAGGGATATTTGAATGCATTGCCAGTAACACTTAAGTAATTGTGAAAGGAAAATCAAATTATAGAAAGATCAAAGATCGAAGATCGAAGATAGAAGTCCAGTATTTGGGACACATTTATGTGGCAAGGTCAACCGTAGGCCATGTTGAACATTGCTCTCGGTTCCTTACCTTGCAGTGTTTGAGTGCTTCCTTGTACTCCTTGCTCCTTATTGCCTCTCTGGCGTTCTTCAGAAGCTGCTTGATCTCCTTACTGCTTCCTCCGCTCGCCATCTCGAGATATTATACATGAAGTTGGGAAAACTCAACAATTTTCAGTTTCTAAAATGAAAAATATTGGATAGGATTACAATGATACCTGAGGAGATTTTTTAATAAGCACTTTCACGGTATTGTGCCATTTAATGTGGCTCAAATACTTCATTTTTGTCAATAAAAAAGGAACCAGCATTGTCTTCCAAAAGGGTGCAGGTGAACTTGGTCCCAGACCAACTCGGTCCCATTCAACTTGTTCCCAAGTCAAGTCGGTCCCGAGTCAACTCAGTCCCAGGTCAACTCGGTCCTGAGCCAACTTGTTCCCAAGTCAACTCGGTCCCGAGTCAACTCAGTCCCAGGTCAACTCGGTCCTGAGCCAACTTGTTCCCAAGCCAACTCGGTCCAGAGTCAACTCAGTCCCAGGTCAACTCGGTCCTGAGCCAACTTGATCCCAAGTCAATTCGGTCACTACGGAACAAACTAAATGTATGCAAACAAAGGTCGGCTAAATTTAAAGTATTTTTTCCCTGACATGGCACGGTCCTTATTGTGGCGCAATTTGATTTTTAGCTCCTTGTGCCTTGCTAGAGCAGTTTTTTTTCTCAAATTGCACAATTGAACTAGGACTGAATTGACTTGGGATTGACTTGGGACCGAGTTGACCTGGGACTGAGTTGACCTGGGACTGAGTTGACCTGGGACTGAGTTGACCTGGGGCTGAATTGACCTGGGACTGAGTTGACCTGGGACCGAGTTGACCTGGGGCTGAGTTGACCTGGGACCGAGTTGACCTGGGGCTGAGTTGACGTGGGACTGAGTTGACCTGGGACTGTGTTGACCTGGGACCGAGTTGACCTGGGACCGAGTTGACTTGGGACTGATGAGTTGACCTGGGACCGAGTTGACCTGGGACCAGGCGCGTACGCAGGGGGGGTGTTTTGGCTGTTAAACACCCCCCTTTGCCATGTAAAAATATGGAGGGAAAAGAGAGTTATGTGACCGAGCGCGGAACAATTACAAATTATGTGCATGCTCTCAACTTTAAGCTTTGAATACAGAAGACACTTCATAGGAGCAAGAGTATATAGGCCTATATGTATTTGAAACAAATGAAACAAAATATCCCCTCATAATTTTAAAAACTGCTGCTAAAAAAACCAGGGGAAGGTGGCCAGGAAACGCCTCAGATTGCACCACAGAGCATCTACGATCCAAAATTTCCCGGGGCCCTTAAGCGGGCCCCGGACCCCACGCCGTAAGTGCTTCGCGCTCCGCGCTCGCATTGGTCCTCCGGCCAAATTCCTTCTATGCTATAATTTCACCCTAGCGGTGCCCCCACCATTTTGTACCTTCAGCAGTGAACGGCTCTACAAGTGGCCTAAATCCCTTTCCAAAATAGAAAATTGTGAAAAATACGGATATGAACATGGTTCTCAACTTTGAGTACCTAACAAACTTTATAAACAACAACAAAAAATAACAAATTTAAATGGAATTGTCGATGTTTAAAACGTTTTCTAAACGGTGGAAGTGGCCAGGAATCGCCTCAGATTGCACCACAGAGCACCTAAAATCCCAATTTTCCGGGGCCCTTAACCCTTACCCTACTAGACCCTCCAACGCATGCCAATATGTGCCTCAAGAAAATCTCCTATGTTTTTTGCATGGCCCTCCAATATCTGCCATGTCATTTCAAGGGTAACTGGACAGGCACTCCAATACATGCCACAGAGAACAATGAGAGTCCTCTGATAACAATCAAGTGCCCCCAGCTGGTCAGTATCAGGCACCCTCCAGGGCCTCCAACTCCTGCCAATTGGAGCCTTCACTGCTACATCAAAGTATCCTCCAATAAACTGCAGCTGGAGGGCATTGGCATAACCAACTGACATGCAGTAAACTACCCTCAGAGAGTAAGGGTTAAGCGGGCCTTGGACCCCTCGCCGTAAGGGCTTCGCAGGTCCTGGACCCTTCATTACAATAATTCTAGGCCCCCCGGCAAATGGCAGTCTGAATCCGCTCCTGTGACCAGAGCGCATATGTATCCTGTATCTGAAGTTTGGCCTTAGGGGTGGGGGCGGTTTACACAAAGATTCCCAACGGATGAGAATCACGAGATCCAGGGGACGAAGCTGAGTAATTTTAGCCAATTACAAGAACAGATCCTAGCACTTCCGCAGCCCGTGTCACTTTTGTTCTTGAATTTCTTCTTTTGTTTTTATTTAAATGCTGTTGAGGGGGGGGGGGACTGCCCACATTGACTCCTTTACTCATATGTTCATCATATACTCTAAAGACACAGAACATTTTTTTCCCGATTTACTATGCTTTAGCTCAAAAAGATAACTGATGGTCGTGGGTTCCCGGCCCTTCGAGTTTAACCCGTCCAAATATACCCTCTTTTATTTCTGGCGCCAACACAAACTCCTGACTTTTATTTTAGCGTTAAGTTTAGCCCACTGATACTATCTTTTATTTCTGGCGCCAACACAATTTACCATCTTCATTTCTAGCGTCATAAAATGACGACATCCAATTTTGAAACACCCCCCTTGAAAAAATCCTGCGTACGCCACTGCCTGGGACTGAGTTGACCTGGGACTGAGTTGACCTGGGACTGAGTTGACCTTGGACCGAGTTGACTTGGGACCAAGTTGACTTGGGACTGATGAGTTGACCTTGGACCGAGTTGACCTTGGACCGAGTTGACCTGGAACCGAGTTGACCTGGGACCTAGTTGACTTGGGACTGATGAGTTTTTTCTGAAGTATTTTTTCCCTGACATGGCACGGTCCTTATTGTGGCGCAATTTGATTTTTAGCTCCTTGTGCCTTGCTAGAGCAGTTTTTTTTCTCAAATTGCACAATTGAACTAGGACTGAATTGACTTGGGATTGACTTGGGACCGAGTTGACCTGGGACTGAGTTGACCTGGGACTGAGTTGACCTGGGACTGAGTTGACCTGGGGCTGAATTGACCTGGGACTGAGTTGACCTGGGACCGAGTTGACCTGGGGCTGAGTTGACCTGGGACCGAGTTGACCTGGGGCTGAGTTGACGTGGGACTGAGTTGACCTGGGACTGTGTTGACCTGGGACCGAGTTGACCTGGGACCGAGTTGACTTGGGACTGATGAGTTGACCTGGGACCGAGTTGACCTGGGGCTGAGTTGACGTGGGACTGAGTTGACCTGGGACTGTGTTGACCTGGGACCGAGTTGACCTGGGACCGAGTTGACTTGGGACTGATGAGTTGACCTGGGACTGATGATTTGACCTGGGACTGAGTTGACCTCGGACTGAGTTGACCTTGGACCGAGCTGACTTGAGACCAAGTTGACTTGGGACTGATGAGTTGACCTTGGACCGAGTTGACCTGGAACCGAGTTGACCTGGGACCGAGTTGACTTGGGACTGATGAGTTGACCTGGGACTAAGTTGACCTGGGACCGAGTTGACATGGGACCGAGTTGACCTGGGACCGAGTTGACCTGGGACCAAGTTGACCTGGGACCAAGTTTACTTGGGACTGATGAGTTGACCTCGGACCAAGTTGACCTGGGACCAAGTTGACCTGGGACTGAGTTGGCCTGGGAATGAGTATTGACCTGGAACCAACTTGACCTGGGACTAAATGGACCTGGGACCGACATGACCGAGTTGGTTTGGGACTTCAGAACAGTGAAATATCTCCACTTCTGGTCGCCCGATTTCAAAAATTCAAAAAGTTTTCAATTTCTGAAAGTGAGCCTGCCATGCTTAAGGCCAAACAAAAAAAAGTCTCCGGTTTCTGGTATGCGCGCGCGTCGCCATAGCCATGCGCGTCGGCAAAATGAAAAAGTTTTTTTTTCAATACAAGATGATGTGTCAAAACCGCCAAACTCACTGGTTTGACTGGAATTCTGCTGCTGCACAATTTTAACGTGTTTTTAGATGGGGTTATGATCGAGAATAAGATTTATGTGGCCTCTCTGGACTCCCATATATTTGCACTAAGTTTAGTCGGGCACCATTTGCAGTCATCAGCCGACATTTGAAGCCAAAAAAAAAAAAAAAAACAGGTAAAAAAAAAAAATCCGCGTCGCCGCACCACTTTTGGGGCAAGCTCCATACCAGAAACCGGAGACTTTTTTTTTTTGGCCTAAAGTGGTTATTGTAAAATTGGCCAGCGGTACGTTCCATTTTTGTCCCTGTCTAGACAATGAAAGCCCAATGCTGATTGGCTGATGAAAACAATGAACTTGGTTTGTTTTTTTAATTAGCCAATCAGCATCAAGCTTTCATTGTGTTCGGTACTGTTGGTGTTGCCGTCTTCATTTTGAGCGTGGTTGTCGTCGTCTTTTACCCAGTAATTTCCCTCATAAATCAAAGCCCTGCCCTCTTTCAACAAATATTAAACATGCTGTTGCTGATATTCGAGAAGATGCCAGTTGTTCAGATCATGGAGCTAGAATGTCACTTTTGAGTGCCATTTAGTGAACTGTTTTTGTGAATCTTTTAACCTTAAGTCATATGAACGGGGTCCTAAAAGTAACAAAAAGAATGGGGATTCCTGCTGCCCGTTTTTTCGTCACAATCTCAATGATGGTCAGTCACTGCAAAAATGTTGAAAAGAATCTGGGACTGAGACTGAGAAGAGTATGAAACATTTCCAATTTTGTTAGAAAATACTTTGAAAATGTTCTTGACTCTCCATATATGGTTGTGTACAAAGTCTATCATGTCTATGGCCATAGACATGATAGACTTTGTACACAACCATTGCAGTGAGGTCAGAATACTACATTATTTCCAAAGTAACGATTGGGCCCACCCTGAAAGTATTTGGCATTACTATATGATGATACTCATTCAAGAAAGAGTCTATGCCTAATGGGGGGCCTAATCCTGCTTTGTAATTTCGCAGTGGCTATTGTTACGGCAGCCGCAACGCATTTCCCATTTTCTATCGTTACGGTAGTACTGCAACTTTTATAAAAACATGAGAAGAAAATATAAAATTAGAAGGAAAAAAGTGAATTTGAAAGTTATGCTTTATACCTGCGTGCGTATCAAAAAAGTATCGTAGAGGGTGCTAAACAACGGCTGCTGTAACGATAGCCACTTCGTTGTAATTTTGAGCATGTGACGTGAGCTTGAGGAAAAGTAGCTTGAGTAACTCTGGGCCCAATTTCACGGCCCTGCTAAGCACACAAATTTGCTTAGCACAAAAAAAGTCTGGCTTATACTTTATAGAAGCAGGTTATCAGCCAAAAAGTCCATGTTATTTTCATGCTAAGCAAACAACAGCTGAATACTAATCACTAGCAATATACATCACGTGGAGTTTTGGCTGGTAACCTGCTTTTATAAGCCAGAATTTTTTTTAAGCTAAGCAAATTTTTGTGCTTAGCAGCGCCGTGAAATTGGCCCAGCTGACATGCTCCATATTCATTCACATGTAACGCTGGAGGCAAAACCTGTTCGTTAGAGGAAAAGTTGTTTTGCAATTTTGAGAATCCAAATTCGGGATAGTGATGGGTTTTTCCACTTATTCACTAGGCCTATGGAATATACATGTACTTACCTGGTTAATAACAAAGAAAAATTGATTCTGTGTCTGTAAATGTCTAGTTATCCAGTAATTTTCAGGCGAAATTTCAGAGTCCATTCATTCAGGATGCCCAGAAAAGGTTTTGCGTTCTAATTCTCACTCCTGATTGCCACTTGAGGGCGTCCTTCATGACCACCGTTAACCAGGCCGTGTCGTCTGCTTGAAGCCTTGATATTATATTACACGCAACCGACTGCAGCCACTTCCAACATGCTTGCGGGCCATAAATCGGTCCAAAATTGCCTTCACCGGCCAAATCACGATTTGCATGAACTTGAGGGTAAAAAATATGGTTAGAGGCTGTGCACAGGACTATGAGCTTGAAGTTCTGTGCAATTTGGATAAAAATGGGGCCCTAAAAGCGCTCTATTTTGCAATGGAGTGTACGCATCGTTTTCAAAACGGCGATGGGCTTCATGACTATTTTTAGGGGTGACCATCTTAGGATGGAAATTTCTCCTAAAAGTCATCAGTTAACCCCCCCCCCCCCCCCCCCGAAAATTAAAAAGAAAAACATGATGAAATAAACTTTAATTTGATGTGTGTCTCGAACACCTTGGAGAGTTGGGAGTATTCTTTCTGAATTTCTGAAATGGGGCATTTATCATTGCATTTTGTTCACGGCACATATTATGGTGTTTTAAAAAGCACAAGTTTCTGCCGGGATTTTTTGTTTTCATTTCTTAACGTAAAAAAAAAGAAGCTAACTGACATTCAAAAACTAAAGTGAACCACGCCGCGACGTTTGAAAAAACAAACAAACTGTAAACCGAACAGATTTATGACGGGCTGGTTGCTTTGTAGAACACCAACTGGTCTTCCTAATATTTGTGGTTTTCTGTACGCCATCCAGTCTGTATACGGTACATGTTACGTAATAGAGAGCGTGGCTCGGACTAGTCTCTCATTTTTTTTATGTTTGCCTCATTTGCAGTTTCATCATTATAATGCCGTTTCCAAAATATAATTAACCCACCCACTTTGCTTAAAGTATCAATATGAAAGGCCCTATGTATTCTTTTTCCATACTAGCTTAGCATCTTGGATGTTGAAATATTTCCACGTACATGTACATCTTGTTTGTTTCACTCAAGGGGCGTGGTCAAACCAAAATGGTTCGACATGTGACAATTTCAATTTTAGGGAAAACATGGAAATCCACGAATTGGATTAATTCGAAGAACGCATTCTTGCCTCGGCCCCATGTCGCCCTTGGATCTGGTGGAGATATATTGATGATGTTTTTTTCATCTGGACCAGTGATGAGGACAGTCTCTTGACCTTCACTAACCACATCAATTCCTTCCACAGAACCATCAAATTCACATCGGAGTTCTCGGCTCACCAAACCCACTTTCTGGATGTCACCGTCCGCAAGCAAGGCAACTCAATAACCACTGACCTGTATTCCAAACCCACAGACACCCACCAGTACCTCCACTCCTCCAGCTGTCACCCCAGGCACTGCAAAACTGGCATAGCGTTTAGCCAGGCACTCAGACTCAAAAGAATTTGTTCTAATGATTCCGATTTCTCCCGCCATACACAGATACTGAGGAACAACTTGGTGGCCAGGGGTCACAGCTCTCGCCAAGTTCATCGTGCCATTGCCAGAGCTAAAGCTATCCCCAGAAATCTAGCTCTCACGGGAAAGGCCCCTGATGCCATGGCCAAACCCACGATTCCCTTGGTTACCACATTTCACCCCAATCTCCCTCCCCTTCGCAAAATCACTAATGACAATCATCATATCCTCCACACTTCAGATCGCCTTGCCCGCGCCATCCCCAACGGCCCCACATTGGCTTACAGGCGTCCTCGAAATCTACGGGACTTGATTGTTCGAGCTGAAGTCCCTTCCTTAGATGCATCCCCTCCCACCCAGCATGGTACTTTCAAGTGCAGTTCCAGATGTGTTGTCTGCCAGATTCATATCCAGGAGTCTGACTCCTTTTCTGGCCACTCTTCTGTCACTACCCACAGAACCATTGGTAACATCACTTGTAACACCTCTAATGTCATATATCTCATTTCTTGCAGGGTCTGTGGAGTGCAGTATGTAGGTGAGACTAAGAATACGCTCAAGAGGCGTTTCTATGCCCACCGGTCAACGGTCAACACCAAGAAACTAGACACCCCTGTTGGTCATCACTTCAACCTGCCTAACCACTCCATTTCTGATATGATTTTGCAGGGCATTGAATCTCTTGGCCATCGCAAGGACTCAGTTCGCCTCAGCAGAGAGAAAGTGTGGATGAATCGTCTTCGAACTATTCAACCACATGGTCTCAACATCCAACTTGGAAATGATTAATCCTTTTCTTCCTCCATTGTCTTCTGTTACAGATAATCCATCTGGTCTTCCTTGTTTGTGTTTACCCATCTTCCCCCATCTTTCATCCCTTTCCACCTCAATACTGTCCCCCCCCCCCCCCCCACATCATCCCTTCACTCTCACACTCTTCTGTCCGTTCCCACTCCCTGTGACCTTTGATCCTTCCCCTTTCTGGTCCCTCCCCTGTTTACACAAGACCCCTTGTGGTTTGCCATCTCCCTTTGTTTCTTTGTTCTCTCATCCACCCTCCCCTGCATCTTTCCACACCTTTCACACCTAATCCTCCTTTTGTGTTTCTTCTTTCAGCCCTGCATGTTTGTGTGCACCCCCATGTTAATGTATGTACCTCTGTCATTTCTGTTTTAGCCTCTGAAGAAGAACTTGCTAAGTTCGCAACGTCAGGCCACATTAATTTTAAGATTTATATATTTCAGGTCCATCCAGTCAGTAAGCAGTTTGCAGCAGTTTTACTTTTTTTCAATTGGATTAATTGGCAGATGATGATATTGAACCAACCTCGTCCCCAGGGTGTCGAGCAGTACGTGACCACCACCTGCTTACTATTGGAAACAACGTTGGAAATAAAGTAAGCACTGGGGACGAGGTTGATATTGAACTGCATGCCCAAGCTTCTTGTATTGACAGTTTTTGTTACTTGTAGTGCCGTGTTGCTCCCTCTCGTGCTTTTCAACTATCGAATTTTTTTTCGCTTAACTTTAAAATGTTTGATTTTAAAGATGGTGTCATACGTGCTTTTTGGGTGTGGCACCTTGAAAAATTGATTTTCAAATTGAATTGATAATTTTCTAGCATTACATTAGTTATGAGCTTTCCCATGAGACATCGCGCGAAAAAAAAATCGGCCCATGACAAGCAGTCAATTAATTAATTTCAGCTTTTGAATTAAGAGTGGGACGCTTCTTATTCGTTCTGAATAGTGTGCGCAATTTCTGAACTGGAGCGCGCCATAAAGGCCTGCAAAAACAAACAAGCAAATTCATTTAAATTTCTTTTGGAAAAGAAAATCGGAAGTTTGAAAAAGCAACATTTATACCAACTTTAACGAGGATTTATGTTTTGGTTTTTTTCTATCTGAGCGTCTGACCTGAACGTCTGTTATTTTTTGTTGCTTTTGCAGGAAAGGATGCGCCTGAATATTGGGAGGCAAAAAAATGATTTCACTTTTGTAATGTACCGGTTATTATTTGGCCGGATATTTTACTTGATGTCTCATTCAAAATCGAACTTAGCTAGAAAAATAGCAATTGAGAAATAGAAAAAAAACCCTGTATTTTGGGGATAGCAACTAAACGAATTGAACCCTAAAAAAAATCAGCTGGACATGGAAAATTGATGGAAATCAGTGGCGCATAACGCCTAAATATTGGCTCCGTTCACAAGCAACCCCCTCACCGCGGCAAGACATGGAGAATTGGGGAGACCACAGGGCCGCGTTTTGGCGCTGTGACCGTAAATTTGTTTCTGGTTCGGGACCATTTTGGTGCTTCGGTTACACTAAAATGACGTCATTGTTACGACCAAAGTTGAACCAAAATTTGCGATCGGTTCACTAAGGTTGCAGACCAGTAAATCGGTCCGAAATTGCCTACGCCGGCCAAATCACGATTTGCATGCCCTCAGTATTTGAGCATGCTGTGGGCCATGAACTTGAGGGTTTGAAAAAAAATATGGGTGGAAGCCGTGCACAGGACTATGAGCTTGTAGTTCCGTTCAATTTGGATGAAATTGGGGCCCTTAAAGCGCTCTATTTTGCTATGGAGTGTAGGCATCGTTTTTCAAAATGGCGATGGGCTTCAGGACTATTTTCAGGGGTGATCATCTTCGGATGGAAATTTCTCCTAAAAGTCATCAGTTGACCCACCAAAAATTGAAAAGAAAATGAAAGATGATGAAATAAGCTTTAATTGTATGTGTGTCTCGAACACCTTGGAGAGTTGTAAGTATTTTCCCCGAATTTCTGAAGTAGGAGCATTTACCATTGGGGTCTATGGAAGTTTATTTACTGGTCTGTAAGTTTCAAGATGGCGGAAAAGTGAACAAGTTTCAGCAGACGACTTACAACAAAAAGGATTTAAACAGTGGGTTTGTACCGTCCGCGCCGTTGGGTAAAGGTGATAACAAAATTATTACAGTTGATAGCAATATTATTACTATGCCTAGGGAAAATACTGGAAAAGTATGTTACTGGAAAGTAACTCCCCCTCCCCCGTTTTAGAACCACTGCCTTGGGGACAAGATAAGGATAAACTCGGACCACCAATATAATTTAGGGTCAGGAAAGACCGCATTATTTGTGTACATACATGAATATTACATTACATCCTATAATGTTTTTCTCGCATACTTCATTAGCGCAGTATACTGACATTTGATCCTGCTCCTTGGGGTGATGTGGCAGACTGAAGCCCATTAATTCAGGAGCAGTCTCATCTTTCATGTTGTCATCTAGCTCATTTTCTTACAGGTAATCGCTTTTCAGTTTGCTGCCTGTGGCCTTTTCCGGTACCTGTATTTTTTTTTACCTACCCAAGCTTCTGTCATGTTGTTTATTTTCTGGATTGTAAAATCCTTTTGTTTCAATACCCAGTGTTTCAAAAAGTATGTTTTCATTTTTAGAATCAAAAGCATATAATGGCCTCATCCATTTCGCTCGTACCCGCCCCCCCCCCCCCCCGCCCGCCCTGCAAATCATTTGCTTTTGTGCACAGATTTGCCTGTGAGTCGACTGGTTTTCAGTCCTAATTGGTTTTGATGATAGGGGCAGAAACCAGTCTAGCTACCCTGCGAGAATCAATGTATTGCTGGACATCAAATAACATGAAAATTGTGAACTAAACATGGGCCATTTTTTCGGTTTGATGTCGTTTGAATGTGTTTGAAGTTATATGTAAGGTATTGCTCCATTACCATGAAATCAAACTTTCACAGATAGAAAGTTGTAATTAGTATGGCCGGACAGATTTTAAGTTACTTTGTACAAAATGTATTATGTTTGAGAAAAGTACATACATGGGGCTGTGTCGCCTTCTCATAAGAGCTCCAATATTGACTCCGTGCACAAACAGAAGATGGCGCTTCTGACCCTTTCAAGAGCTTCATGGGAGGGACATGTCATGGGTATGAAAAAGTCCCCCCCCCCCTCTAAATTTTGGTTAACTTGTTTATTTACCAGCCTGTATTCTATTATTCATTACTACCCAACTCATTCTTATTTAAATTCACCAACGGCCAATCCACGCACGCCGTTGGTGGCGGGAACACATTCAAGTCATTCTGTGCATATACGGAGACGAGAGCTGTTGTGTTAATTCTCTCTCCAATATTCTCTTCATTCTTGCAGAATAAACTCACATCTTTGAGAGTTGAAGCCTGTCCTCTTGACATCAAACATCCACGGGTCACAGACACATAGCTTGCACTTACTGGTTTGCGTGTGTATACGTATGGCGTGAAGTACGCCCGACTAATTATTATATTCTGAATTCGCACAACGGTTACAGAGGGAGAGTTGGGGGTGCTGTGGTCCAATGGTTACGAAGTTCGACTTGTGTGCCGTGGTACACGAGTTCAAATCCTGGCCATGGGAACATGGTGCTTGTGCTCTTGAGCAAGGCACTTTTAATTACCACTATTGCTTCGTCCTTCGGATGGGATGCAAAGCCGTAGGTCCTGTGTGTTGTGTAATGCATGTCAAAGTACCCAGAAACACTTGTCGCTAAGAGAAGGGGTTCGCCCTGGTGTTTCTGGCAGTGGCCGCAGCACCTTGTAAACCCTGGTGCCACACCTCCAGTTTAAATTCCCTAAATCAAATATTTCGGAGGACCACCAACCAAGTACCAAGTACCAAGTAACAAACCTGTAGCATCTTCACGCGAGTGTCAAGACGCCGTTGGCAATGCGTTTGAATGTCCCTCCCAATGGTTTCCCCCAACTCTCCCTCTGTAACCGTTGAGCACGGACTTGTGCACGGAATACATATGGGGGCATGCTGCTTGTACTCGTTAAGTTACAGGTGTATGGTGTGGAGTAAACTTAAACAACTTTTCATCTGAGCGTGCAGTGCGCAGACCCGTAGCTTCCTTGCACCTGAGCATGGGCATGGCAGCGACGGTATGGGCATGGTCTTTCTTCCCCCCCCCCAACATTGAGGTGGTTCTTGTGCAGGGAGCCAGCTGCCAACACCATGGTGATGCTATGACTTGAGACACCAAACTTCCTGTGGTTGTGTGTGAGGATACTGCATTCAGCCTTACACGACGACCACAGAAAGACTGGGGCCAAGACATTTATCTTACAGCAAGTTGGAGCAAGAAGCAGTGATGCAGTAGAGTCACTTGGGTAGAGTCTGAGTTGCAACTTCGGAGTTTTGAGTCAGTTGGGTCGAGTCTGAGTCCGAGTCACAAGCCATTTCATTCAAGTCTTAGTCTGGGTTGCATTCTCATGAAATAGATGTGCATGGACATGGGCACGCATACATTCAAGCGATATGCCAAATTGTGACTCGAGATGGACTCAAGTCCGAGTCCTGGACTCGATTATACAACGCTGGCAAGAAGTATAGTTAACCATAGTTCAGTCAGCTTCACTCGAACCCAGGCAAGTTGAACATAGTTGGACTAGTCTAGTCGACTCTTATAGGCCAGCATAATGGGGTTGCGCACATCACTGATTACAATAGCTACACTCGTCATTGATGCAAAGCAGGGAGCCAGGATAAAGCAGTTTGGTGATGACATATTTACAGTCGTTTGACTAAACACATTTACGTTATGTCACAAAACTACCACTAGTCGACCGAAGGCCATCAATCTAAGTTGTCCTCGTTAGCCATTGGCAAGAGTTGACACTCGAGTTGGGACTCCACAAAAGCATCATTCGCAATAACCTTTAAAAAAAGATACTCCAATTTTTTGTGTATTTCAAAGACATGATGTATTCAACATTACGGGCAATATCATACAGACCATGTGACACGTGTTTACAAAATTTAGATGTTGTGGTCTCGTAATGCCATCTTTCAGGAAATGGTTCTCTTCAGCACTGCATGTAAATCTCTAGAAATATGAACGACTTAAAAGTGTTGACATGAACTGTTTAAATGTGGGCTAAATAACATGCAAAAGATGCTGAAATGCTTGGGTTGCCCGGCGGTTGCCTGCCAGCAAGACGTCACAGGGCACATGGTCTATAGATACAGTGAAATCTCAATAAGTCAAACTCTGATAACTCAAAACAACTGTTAAGTCCAAAAAAGAATTCGTTGCCTTCAGAAGTATAACAATGATATACAACTGCTCAACTCAAAACTCTGCTTAAGTCAAATTTGAACCTGTTCCCTTGGGGTTTGACTTACCAAGATTTCACTGTATATAATTTTTGTTAAGGCACAGATACTCTTTACAGATAATGTGCAAGTTTCAGCTTCAAATAATATACTGTTTAGGAGATACAAAGTATTTGGGATTAAACAAGAAGAGAAGTTAAAGAAAAATACTACAGTGTACATTATCATTTTGCATTTTCGTCCGACAGGCAAATACATAATTTATCAAAATTAGGGTCCCATAACAAACATTATGGGCATTTCAATTCCTGTGCAAGTTTCCCGCCCCACCCCCCCCTTTCAAGAACTAATGTTTTCATGGAGCTTAAATGGTTGATTTTTATTCTTTAATAAGAACAGTAAACTGAAGAATCATACAAGCACGATTAATGCACTATTTTCACACTCATTTATTTCAATGATCGTATATCGACGATCATAAAACTTACATTTTTGTACCAAACATATAAATGTATCTTTCACACACAATAGAAATGGCGTTTGACTTTGCAATTGTGTACTCTCTGTTTTGACAAAATGAGACACAAAATTTACTCCCTTCTTTTTATACCAATTTTGGATCAATCCTCAATCATAAAGGACAACACATTTGAAATTCGTAATGCTGAAACCAGAGATAAACGCTGGCCTAATGGGCCATATTATCTGGGGCCAATTTCATAGAGCTGCTTAAGCACAAAATTTGCTTAAGCACAAAAAAAAACGTGCTAAATATAATCAGGTTACCGGCCAAAACTCCTTGCGATGTACATTGCTTGTGACTGGTATTTAGCTGTTTGCTTAGCACAACAATTGCATAGTTTGCCAGTCTGTAATCAAATTCTATTTGGGTTGACCTGAGTCGCTCCTAAAACTATTTGGTTTGGCTTGGCTCTGGAATACCAGGTTGAAATGGCTTGGGAGAGAAGCCAAACAAACAGTCAAGCCAGTCTCACAACCAGTCTGGCATTATTCTTGGGAAACAGTCCAGCACCATTCAGGGCAACCAGTCTGGGACCATTCTTGGGAAACAGTCCAGCACCGTTCTTGGGAAACGGTCCAGCACCGTTCTTGGGAAACAGTCCATCACCATTCAGGGCAACCAGTCTGGCACCGTTCTTGGGAAACAGTCTGGCACCATTCTTGGGAAACAGTCTGGCACCATTCTTGGGAAACAGTCTGGCACCATTCTTGGGAAACAGTCTGGCACCATTCTTGGAAACCATTCAAGGAACCATTGTTGGGAACCAGTCAAGGAACCATTCTTGGAAACCATTCAAGGAACCATTGTTGGGAACCAGTCAAGCACGATTCTTGGGAACCAGTCAAGCACCATTCTCTGGAACTAGTCTGGCACCATTCTTGGGAACCAGTCCGGCACCATTCATGGGAACCAGTCCGGCACCATTCTTGGGAACCAGTCAAGCACCATTCATGGTAACCAGTCCAACACCATTCTTGGGACCCAGTCAAGGAACCATTCTTGGGAACCAGTCCGGCACCATTCTTGGGAACCAGTCTGACACCATTCTTGGGAACCAGTCCGGAACCATTGAAAAAATAACACAAGTCAGATGTCTTTCAACAGATCGGGCACAAAGCAGGTTGACACTGCCAACCATCAGTATTTTGCAGAGTCTGTGCTGTTTTGTCACATTGTTATAACCTCCTGGCTTTTCGCGGCCGGGCTCCGTTGTGGGGTATGGGCGTGTTGTCTGTGATGGACACAATGTCCAGTCCTCCCATCTGCAAACCTTTAATGGATGCCTGAAAATATCAAGAGCAAAAAAAAGACAAGAAAATCAAAATCAGTTTAAAGTATTCAAAAATTATTTGGAATTTTGAAAACTCCCCTTAACTGGCACTCAAAACCTTTGTTTTTCATTGTCTGAGAAGTTACTAAGTAATTTGTAAAGTTGGTTACTGGTACCCGACCCATGATCTGGAACCAGTTTCTGACATCAGCGGTTGAGTAATCGGGTACCAGGTTTCAATGCAAACCCCTACAGCACAGCATTTCTACCTTTCTAATAATATGCAAAACATTTATGAAATCGAGTTCTATTATAATTTTAATGTACAGTTAATTAATACAGGTGTACATTTGATCAAAGTTCGAAACAAATGCATAAAGTTGCATTTTGAAATTTGGGTTCTGAAAATTTTGTACATTTACATAATGTACAAAACAAAAACCAAACTTCAAAAGCAAGTTTTTCCACAACTTAATACAATAAAAAGATAAGCAAGTTGATGCGCAGCGCAGCACAGCACAAACTCACAAGCATTTTATTTTGTATGTGACCAGAGATGCCACTTTTCAGGCTTTAACCTGAATTCAGGTTTTTTTTCCAAAAAATGTGACAACTCAAAAGTGCAGGATTTGGTCTGAAACATCCAGAAAACACATTTTTGAAAGGGAGTAAGGGTAGTTTCAGGTTTTTTTTAGTAGTATTTCAGGCGTTTTATTGATATATTGGTGGCATCTCTGGACTGTGAAAGTATGACCAAGATCTCGATAGATTATCTTTCTAGAGTAAGCAACTGAGGTATTTTAGTTCCAGTAATGACAGATGGTTGCTGCACGTATCAATGCTCCAGTTTGATACTCGAGAAAAAAAGACAGGCATCAGTTGATGAACAAGCCTGAAACACAACACGGTGCTTTTAACTTTTATGGGGGCTACATTACACTCTATCTTTTTTTGCACAAATATGAAACCCCTTAAATTGTACACTGAGTTGGCTCCATGGAAAATCACTTAGCTATCATAAATATTTGGAAAGTTCCAGAAAAAACAGATGCTGTTTTGTTTGTCGAGCCATATAGCATACATACTTGTGATGACATGTATGGAGAGTAATGTTATGGTTGTGTGGGTATATTGTTACATGAAAAGGAACTTTCTGTTTTTGCTTTCATGGGTAAATATTAGGGTCCAAGTACCAAATTGTAACATTAACATGAATTTGATTTGTTATAAAAACCAGAGGACCATCTCAGCCTGAATGCATCATATTTAGGGCAAGTAAAAAAATTAACCAGTTTCTTGGCCTGACCCATATTTTTTAACCCTCCCTCCTTTTTTCTTGTATGTGTTTCCAGCAAAGTTAGGGCTACGTATGTAAGTTCAAAATCTGGTACAAAGGGCGATGGATCCTTTGGACACAAAAGTATCAGCAAAAGAGAAAATGGAAGAATCCATCTTGGAAAATCCACCATCTTGGGAAGAAAAGTCCTCCTTCCTTTTTTCAAAAAGCCCAAACAAGAAAGTATTTTATCCAACAATGGTCGACGGACCATCGTTGGAAATTGATACAAAAATCGCACTTTTTTTGAAAATGACAGCACACCAGGTGCCATGATTTCACCGGATGCTTGAGACTATTATTCACTCACAGTCAAGTAAGGTATTTCATAATAATTTGGAAGTTTTGTTTTTTGAAGTTTGCAAATGTTGGATATTACCTTTAAAACCCTATGATCATTTAGCTGTTGATCAAATGTTGCGCACCAAAACTTACAACCATTTTCATATCATATTCATCTAATATGTTATACGCTAAGCAGTTTTCAATAACCGGAAATGTTTCTGATTCTTGCAAATACTTTTAACCCATTATTTTCCACCTGTTTGTGTAATATTTGATAACAATGTTATCGTTATCACATGACTCCACTCCGCAATCGCTCACGAGGAATTTTGGCTACGTGCCATATTTCTCTTTTGGCTCGGTGCCAACGCCAAGATAACACATGGATTTTGCACCACAACAATTGTGGTTTTGTGAGAGATATCAAACAGTAGTCAAAAGACTTGTGTTTCTGTAAATAAACTTGAAAAGTATCAACTGTTATATTCGGACAATGGCACTTATCTTTATCTTTCCGGTTTTGATCAAAATAGATCAGATATCAACCTATGACATCAATTGGTTTAATAATAGTAATGTGTACGTTTGCTGAAACCACAACAAAGTATACGAGTGTGTACCGATACATCAGCAGGATTAAAATGTGTACCATAAGGGTGTACAAACATACTGAAATTTGTATCCTTGTGGAGTCATTTCTTTGTTCTTGTGTACTAAAGTTTTCGAGTTTGCAAGTGTAGTTTCGAGTTTGAAAGTGTAGTTTCGAGTTTGAAAGTGTAGTTTTGTTCTTAAATTTTGCATTTTTATGGTTCATTTTTATTTTTTGTGAAGCGCCTTAAGCGTCAATTTTGACGGATCTGGTGCTTTACAAGAATTAGATATTATTATTATTATTATTAGTTGCAAAATGCTCCTATTTTAACCAGAATTAATTTCCTGGGCTAAAATTCGGATTTAATATACTTCAATATGCGACAGATCAACACACCTTGGAAATTCCTAGTTTTTGAGTAAAAATCCATATATCTATTTTTTTTGATAACCTTGTTGAGACGTACCGGTTATCATCTATAGAAATTGCCCAGTGGAGAGGTACCGGTATTCAATCTTTTGTTCCCTATTATACCCATGTCTCCACAGGGTACCGTGTAACAGATCATGTGTACAAACGTGTATGGTCGTACCACGGTACATGTGCCATATTGCTTCCAGCATCTCTCCCCCCCCCCCTTGAAAAATTGGTGCTTCCCAAAGTGTCCCCCCCCCCTTAGAAGTTAAACCCTAGTTATGCAGGGGGGGGGGGGGGGGATGACACACGTCGCAGGTACATGTACCAGAAAGGTGTGGAATATGCGTGACCGATTTGAAACAGTCATGTGCGGGAACCTGTGGCATTTGCATGCAAGCCAAATGCACCTGAGCCCAGGTGCACAGCTGCACCTGCGGCCAATACAGCATGCCCATTGACCTAAAAAACCTGGGAGATTTTACGGGAATACTAGTACATCCAAATACCGTGTATAGGATCAAAATGTCCTATTTTTGCATTCATGTTGTGTCGTGACTTGGTTTATCTGGTCAGGTGTAATAGACTGGACTCCGTGAAAGGAACAAAATCATTACAATGTACAACATATTTAAACTTTTGCAACTTGATGACAATAATATCATGAACAATTTTGACCTTTACTCCTGTTCAACTGATCATGCTGGTAACAATTGGGTGACACGGGAGTCTGTGACTAGACTAGTCAGTGTTTGGTACCAAGACGTTCACATGAAACAGGGAGTAATAGGCAGGGTGGCTTGGGGCAATACAGAGACTAATGTGTTAAAGGTAGAGTACATCATTTGTCATTCGTGCATTTTTTTTCGTTTGAAGCAACAAAAGTGCTCAAAATCTAAAGAAGGATGCTTAACAACTAACCTGATGAAGTTTCAGCTCAGTGAATGCTGCATATTCTGAGAAAACAATATTCTAGGATCTCGATTTCAATTTAAAAATTGCCGAGTCACGTTTTGAATTGCGCCCGAAATCAGCGTCCGGGACACGTTCTCATTCAGCTGCAGCTATGCGATGTCACGCACTGAACCGACGAATTATATTAACCGCGTGCTTAAGTGCACCCATCCAAGGCTTCACCAAAATAAAAATGAACTACTGATGGAAATTTCAAAAAATGGGGTCTTTAGACACATCTTTGGAAATAACCTTCTTTTATTGTTTTCTTCAAAATGACAGCATGCCAGAAAGAATAATTTCACTGGGAGTTTAGTTAAACCAAGTAAGCTTTCCAACAATAATTGTGTCAGTTACTTTTTGAATAGCTGCAAATGATGTATTCTACCTTTAAGTTAAAAAAAAAGGAAAGTCTGTCCCGAGCCCACATGGCTCCTCAGGCCGGTGTTTAATCCCCGGTTTCCTCGGCATGGCACGACAGAGCTATTTCTATTCCCCCTGGATGGGATGCCAGTCCACCACAGGTTACTCCCCAGCTAATGCTGGTACCCATTTATACTCCTGGGTGGAGAGAGGCAGATATATTGTCGATCCGCCAGTGCTCCCGAGGTATAAAAAAGGGTTCCACCGCCAAAGATGTGTAGTGATGATCTACGTGATTCTAATTGAATTTCCCGCCTGCGGATCAACACCCCATTACCCCCTCCCTCCGGGCCCGCCCCCTCCCCCCTCCCGACCCTTCCTTCTTCTCAACCCCTTGTGGGCCCTCACCTGTCTTCCTGGGCCGATTCCTTTCACCACGATTCTCACAGTCTTCAACCCCTTGTCCAGTGCTTTCTGTACAAAAATCGGATGGTAAAGAAAAAGAAGAAGACAAAATTCTCAGTCCATTACTTAACACATTACCCACTTAAAACTAATTCAGCAATAAACACCGGTGGCTACTTTTTCTTTTATAGATGGCAAGTTCCGAGGCTAATTTCGGGAGGCTAAACTAAGATTTGGACGGCTAGGTAATCCATTTGCAGAGGATCTTATTTTCGTAGGAAATAAAATTCTGTCGGAAACTGCTTTCCAACGGGAATAACCTGGGGGAAAAAATGGCATAATTTTTTTAGCAGAATGTTTTTCTGAGACCTTACTTTCACATATTTTTGAAATCTTAAGGACTAGCTGAAAACCGATTTAATGAGGGAAAAAATCCCACTCACAGTGAAGATAGCTCTAGGATAGTTTTCCGCCAGAAATGCTTATGATTAAAAGAAAACAATTATTGAAGGTGGTTTAATGGGCCCACTTTTTATGTGATAGCAACAGAATCCAGTCATAAGAAAGATTATATAACTGACATACAGATCCTTGTCATTTGATTGGTGGAACTCACATCACATGACATTCATTATTGCTCCCATTCACGCTGGGGCTCAAAAAAGTCCCATTCGCCATGGGGAATGGGAAATACTATTCAACAGTTGCGATCATCCTTGTTCCAAGGCGCGGTATTCGCGTGCAAATGCATGCTGGTGTGCACACTGTTCCCAAGAGCCAGTGCCTACAGAGTTGGGTTCAAACATTTCGTGAAGGGGTGGTTTGGAAGAGAGAAATACAATTCCCGCCAATTTTGTATTGAAAAAGAAGTTCATTTGAACTGTAAATCAAATGACGAGGATCTATATGTCACTTATATAAAACAAATATTGAGTGGCTTTAAATTGTGAAATGGGAGGAATATTATTGCTCGGTCAAATCTGGACTTAACCATTTTACTCGGCTTCGCCTCGTGAAATAAAAAAGTCCAGATTTTACCTTGCGATAATATTCCTCCCATTTCACTCTGAGCCACTCAATATTTGTAGGCTGTGCATATGTTTTCTCTGTCTTCTCAAAATGCATCGTGGCCACTGAGGTGAAAATTCAACAGGTTATTTCTTGTGCACCCCAGGGCACATTTATTTAATGCATTAGCGAGGGAATCCAGTCACGAGACCCAAAACAATTTCGCACATGTTTTCTCTTGTGTAGTGGCCTCCGAGATGCAACTGCAGCAGATCAGTTGCTACAGTACTCCCTATTTAGGATTTGGAGCAATTTTGTTAAATGGGCTTGAAATGATCTCGAAAGTCTGTTCTTATAATGCACAACTACTCACGTGGTCGTGACTGTCAAGTGAAAAGGATTCCCATTATTTTGTTGAACGCCAGTTGGTGCATGGAGCGTTTTATAGCATGTGGAACACCCAATTTGTGTGCAGTAAAGTGCTAACTCTAATGCCAATGAGTGACCTTGTGACCCAATTGTCCAGGACTGTAATACATTGGTACCTGGTCAGTGGAGACCTGAAGCATGTGTTGTTGCGAGGGCCTATTGGGACAGGGTGATTGATTGCCTAAAAAAGGCATGTGCTGAAGTTTGTTACTAACCAACAGAGAGACATGATCATTTTCTTAAGCTGCTTTCCACAGCTAAAAAGAGAAGCACGAAGAGCAAATGCACTTTGTTGGATGCACTGCTGGGTGGTTTTGTGAGGGATGGGAACCAGAGCTATATTAAATTACTAGAGCCCTAACTCGATGTGCAAAGTAATGCCTGATGGGTGCATCCATGTTTGTGCACAAACCTATGTAGAATTCGAAATTTTGTACGGCTATTTGCATATCTGCATTTGTATTCCGTAACCGGTGCGTCATCGAAGCCGATACGCCCTAAACTGAAACGCACGCGTCAGCAAATGAGCGTTTCATTTTGCTCTTCGCAAACAGTGCAACGTGTGCGCGTCCCTCCGCTGCAGATGCTTTTTGCCGTGACGTTTTTTGAACCATCATGACGAGTGTAAGTTGTTTGCGTACCTTCTGCTTGCGCGTTGCATTTAGAGTGCACTTTTAAAATTCAATCCATCTATTTTGATTTGTGTTCTACAAACACGCACATAAATTCAAAATGTCTGCGCCCAAAGCGGCTTCAAAGCATCTCTAGCTCTGTGCGCAAGAATGAGGAGTTAGCGCTCTAGTCATTTAATATAGCTCTATGATGGGAATCTACCGCACAAAGGAAAAGAAAGTTTACTTACGGTGGCCGCTGCTATGCCGACAGTTTGTGCAGCAATCGTTGTTCCTTTCTTGGCATTCTTAAACCCTTCGGCACCCTGATTGTTAGACAAAAGATATAGAAAGTTTTAAAGTTGAACAAAGAAATTGACTGGAGTTGGGTTGGAACCTGCGACCTCCAGATTGCTGTTCCGGTGCTCTACCAGCTGAGCTATCTAGCTCTCTGTTGGTGGTACACCATTTTGACAATGTCTTTGTTCAAGGGACTCTAGTCAGAAGCCATAAACCTGTATTTATGCCATGTAGACAGGGATTACACCCAAAGTCACAATGCTAGCAACATTAGCAATGCTGCAGAAGTAGTACTTAGAAAATACTGTATGGTATAACATGCCAGTGTAGTATGGGCTCCGTGCACAAGTACCCCTTCAACAGCCAGAAAAGGAGAGTTGGGGGAGACCTAGACCGGTTCCCGGTCCATCCACTGCGTATTTCGAATAATCCAAAAGTTATTGGGGCGAGGATTAGTCTGGGAGACCATCGCAAGTTCAATTCTAATGTATTCGCGCGCCGCCGACGCATGCACTCACGCGCAAAGATGTTATGGCTTAGCTTTGTGCACATTCAGGATAAGTAAATCATGCGTACTTTGTGCGCGAACCATGCACATGCAGTGTTTCGTCAAAGGGGCTCTCAAAAGTGGTAAAAACGCGCCCTCTTTTGTTGGCACAGACAGCCGTACCTCAATGACCTGAACTTTGAGTGTACCGGTAACTAGGACAAAAGTTCACAGTCCAGCCTTTTCAGAAAGTTTGGATTATTTGTTATATCAAATCAAATAAATGTACTTTGCACATATTTATATCTTTGTGATGATATGTAACGACTCCAAATCAAACAGAACACGGACGTTATTAACACACATGTAAGATTAGCAACAATTTTATCATGCCACGACTGCTCTCCAGCAAAAGCAAAAGCATGGAAAGTTGGACGAGACAAAAAAAACGAGACACTTGCAGGGAGAAATCAACAGACTTTTCAACCTCGTTAAAAAAAAATTTGTAAAGTGAATTAACATGGAATGATTTGGGAAAAAAATGAATAAATACTGAATGTACTGCAATCTTTAGTGTGCAAGGGTTTACAATGTAGCTACATGTACACATGTAACTATGTAACTTGGCCAAAGTAGAAACAAATCTCCTTCAAAGAAACAGGTCGGGTTCTCAGATCATCTGGCTCGTACTTACTAGCAGAACCAAGAACTAGAACTGTCCGCTATGGTCAGCGTGCCTTCGCCAAGGCCGCACCTGCCATTTGGAATAAACTACCTGCCACACTCCGTCAAACAACATCAATGGACATCTTCAAAAGAGAACTGAAATCGCATCTACTTCACTAGTTATTTCTCTATGACTGGAACTTAACTATTTTTGTGTGTGTAGGCGCCTTGATCGGGTTTCCGGATAAGTGTGCTATATAAATCTATATTCATAAATACCTCAGACAGTTTGGCTATTCCTATTGGTCGAGAGCTCGTCACGTGGCCGGTCTTAAACGGATGATAAAGACATGGCTAGCTGGTCTTAAACACTTTTCCAGTGTCACAATAAAATGTGGACTCCTAAAAATCCAGTGCCTCTTACCGTTTCATTGGTTGAACGTTCACAATCCTCACATAGGCATGCGCAACACTACAAGCGAGTCAGAATTTTATAGTTCTAAATTCAAAATGCAACGCCCCAGGTGCGTTCTGCGTGACATCGCGCAGAACATGTTACGCGCGCGTCAATCTCCATAAAAGGGTTGTTTACATCTTACTCGCCAGCTGAACACTCCATTATTTTGCTAGAGGGATGTTTCAAAAAGCATGAAGTGAACTTGTTGAACAAAATCGGGATTTTTTGAACGAATTATTTGATATTTTTTACGGATAAGGTATTTATGAATGGGAATAAATATGTGCTCGGTCGGTATTTATCACTCTGTTTAATACCGCTTAGAGTCTGGGTGCTGATAATTACCCTCGCCTCCGGCTCGGGTAATTATCAGCACCCAGACTCTAAGCGGTATTAAACGAGTGATAAAAACCTCCGGAGCACACATTTATTCCCTTATTATTATCATTATTAAATAAAATGCATATCGTGTCTTTGATACTGTCATTTCATTGGTCGAGAATGGTCATGTGTCCCGTCTATAAAAAATGACTATTAACTTCGTACATGTATACACTGCGTTGTGTAACTGGCTACAGAGAATTGCAACATCGGAATGTCATGACTGGCAGGAAAGCTCACAGTAATTAAAAGTGAATTAAACATATTGATATTTTCAACTTATTGGCAAGATATAACAAAACAATTATTGACTGCTGTGATGTGTGATATGTCGTTTCTAACCCCCTTGATCTCCTCTGGTACTAAAAACTCAAAATCCCACACCACAGCTGTCCAAAAACTGTTGTTAAATGACTCCAAAGCTTCAAGTGAAAACAATTTGGGCGATTCACAATGCAGTGCGCCACCAAGAGTTTGCCATGGAGAGTCCATTTTTCAGGTTTACGGTCGACAAAACATGGTCCATTTGCATGAGAGTCAGAAGAAAACTTGATCTAATTTGTTATAGGTTGGAACATATAGTGTCTGCCGCCTTACAAAAAACACCATATTGATAAGAAGAAAAGGACAGGGTAAACAGATCCTCGAATCATACGCTTACGAAACTAAGTGACCGGAAAGACTCGCAATTTCAAATAGCTCGCGCTGAGAATTTGTCGACCATCTCCCACAGTGCACTGGGAAAAATGAACTCTCCGTGGCAAATTCTTGGTGGCGCACTGCATTGTGAATCGCCCGAATTGTAGTTGGCTTTAAGAATCCATTACTAGAGAGGATTGTATTAACTCTAACAGTCCTGAATCTTCCAATTTTAATATGTTTTTTTCCACACACCGTTGGGAATTTGGCTTAAGTAATTGTGGTAAACCATGTTCTGCATATTAGGCTAATGGTGAATGTGTATTAGTCAGTCAGTCATAAATGTTTATGTTTTTGTAAAAATACTTCCTCTGAAAAAAAAAAGGATTGACATGAAAAAAAAATATGAAAACTTGTAACCAACATCTACTGATAATGTTTGGGACATCTCACAAATTCGGCCTTTTTTGGCAAATAATGTTGTGCAATATCGGCATTCTAATAATAATAACATCAGAGTCTTATACAGCGCACGTATCTACCAACAATTAGGTACCCAAGGCGCTGAAAATTATGTCTATTTTTAAAGAAAGGTAAATAAAGTTTATGAGAAATATGAGCCCCATTAGAGTCTGTGAGAGCTTTACTGATGACCCCAGCTGTAAGTATTTTTTCATGTTCATCAAAGTAGAAAACAATCCCAACCGTAACACCCAATCCAAGCGAATTGACATTAACCACCCCCTCACTTGCCCCCCCCCCCCCAAAATATGATATGTATAAGTCTGCAGCCCTTAAAAAACTGCAATTAATTTTGGAGTGCATTATATTCCAGACAAAAAAAAATTGAAGGGAAGGGAAAAAAAACAAACCTATCCTATTGTGCGTGGGATGTGCAACAAACAGAATTTGCCTCATATAGACAGCCAAATTGAATAATGCGTTTGGTTTCCATCCTGCCACAGCCTTTAGACCGAGAAACCCATTACACATAATTTTCTTTTTTTGCGTTTGATAATCATGGGACAGGCTGCCCACACAGAGTCATAAATTCAGCTCGTCGTAACTCACGTCATCGTCCATATTTTCTCAATCCCCCCACTCCCCCCACCGCTCTCTTCGCGGTGGCTCCGCGGAGCCAATTATATTAACTAGGTCATAGGATCTACTGCTCATTAACTGTTCCGACGGTCTCGGTCATAAATGGCGCTAACGCAATTTGCTTGATGTGCGGTGGCTATTTGGGGGGGCTAATTTCATGCACCGAGTGATATGTAAACGCTGGATATCAAAACAAACTCCTGGCATTTCCCCTTGCGGAATGATCTCTCTGTCTCTTTCTCTCAGAAGAAGATTTCATTAGAGCTGTTTGATTCACGTAGACACTTTCTGTCTCTATCGCAATACCGGTCATTACAATCACAACAGCCCCCTTACCCCTCACAAAAATATAAAAAAAGACACACAAAAAAAGAATCCAATATTGCAAACCATCAGAGCTTGTCAAGGACCGAGTGTAAAATCCAATTTGTTGGCTGATTTGTCGTGAATGAGAGTGAACTGGACTGACTCACGGTAAACAGTGTTCACCCTTCAACTGCACTCTTTTGTGGGAACAAAAACGGAGAAACCTAGATCACATTCCAATTGGTCTTATTCGTGAGCCCATGAGGGCGCCTTAACAACACGATAAGGGGTATTAAAAGCTGTGAATCCCAGGTTGCAGATATAAGTTTGCATATTTCTACAGCTCACAAATTTACCATCATTATTTTTTTTAGCATACACTGTGAGAACAATTCCAGTGTCAGGGACATTGCATATTAGAAACTTTCTTTTATCAATTAGGAGTTCATATGTTAGTAAAGGAAAAATAAATTTAAGTAGATAGTGTCTGGGAAACAAGCAATTCCTTTGAATGTTTTTTGAAAATATGTACGTTGCTTTTGATGTTAGGAAAACCTACTATACAAGTGCACAAATGTATGAGGCCTTACATGTACCAGTATGTGTGTAGAATGAGCTACATACAGGAGTGTGAGTGACCACTGATAAAAAAAAGCTGAAAACAGCTGAAAAAGGTGTTAAAAATGCTGAACTTTGGAAATTTGCTATACTGTTGTACACAGCAAGTGAGGGAAAAAGATGAAAAAAAAAGCTGAAATCCAAAACTAAAAATAGCTGAAATCAGCTTTAAAGCTGAGATTTCACATCCCTGTACATATAATGTACATGTTTGTACATGTACTTCAGGTAGTTTGCTCTGTGGATTTTCACAATGTTGGAAACTGTGTTAGGAAGGTGCACAAATATTTTATATGGTATCCGAATTGATAAAAAAAATCTCCAAAAACTACATTTCACGTAAGGTGACAGGCTGACAGTTAGTTTTTGAATAGTAGAAATGGGTATGAGAATAACAAGGATTCAAGCAATTTGGAGTAAATCAAGCAATAGTATACAAAAAAGAATTGAACACAGAAAATATGCACACAGATGAATGAATGATACAAACAACAAACACAATCCAAAAAGAACGTCACATGCATTAGAATCAACAACACCCAAGCCCATCAATTTGAATCAAACACGCAATGAAAGCACAAATGTCCCATAAATAGAGAAGAGTACATGTACTTACACATGTCGTTCGTGTGTAGCTCCTTTCTGCATCGGCGATGATGAACCACAGAGTGAAAGGGGGAGGGAAGGGGGGGGGGAGAAGGAGAAAGAGAAATTGAAGACAGCTGTGCAATGTTTTGCGGTTTTGATGTCAAGTCACAGTGGCGTCATTCTGGAATGTCAGTGACGGCTTGCACGTTTGACCCAACATTCCCCCTGCTTCATACATGCACATGTTTACTATTGGCAAGCGCCGCGACTTTGAACACATCAGACCGAATCCTGCACTTTTTACATTATTCACATGTAGGTCATGAGATCAATAAAATTTTGATTAGTTATACATGAGTTGCCTTTTTTTTGCTTGTTCGGAACCCCAACTTATGAATAGGAATGTTGTAAAGCATGTATAGATCTCTTTCATAGGACGCCATCTTCGTAGGAAAAGTACAACTGCTTGTTCAAAGCCATCAGGTGCGTGTGTACGTGTTCTTCATAACCCCCGAAGACCGACACACAAAGGGAGAACAACAGATCCTTTCAGTCCTTGGGAGTTGGGTCTTTTGTTCAAATGCTCCTCTGTAGTAGGTTTGTGCGCTTAGTCTACGGGAGAGTGTTACATTACAGGGGCAGAGGGAAACACAAAGCATTGTCCTCAAGAGTATAGTAAAGCAAGAGTGTATGTGCGCAGTGTGCAAAATGTTCTAAACACGCGCGCGTGTTGCTCGTAATTTCATCGAAAAACTGCGCAGCCGAAGCGCGTCAAGAAAACTTGACACCCAAAATGCTGATGCACGTGGCAATCTGTAGGAAGTGACGTCATGGAGAGAGAGATCTATTGTTTTAACCCATTATTAACATTTGTACTACATTGTATTACATTGTATTTATTCACTGATGAACAAATGGAGTGTACAGAGAGTAACAGACAGGGCACTTGTGGGGGGCAGTACAGGCATTAAAATGGGTTAAAGACATTTGGGTAAAACTCGTGAGAATTTGAAACTAAAAAGTCCAGGTGGTTTAGGAGGATATTAATGTTCTAACTCAATCCATATGTCTGCCTGGGTGGGATGTGAACTGGGGTCAGAGAGGCCTAAAAATAACTCAGCTGGATAGCCATTTTTTTTAAAGGTAATGTACATGACATTACTTGCTATTTTGTGGGGTTTTTTTCCGTTTTGAAGCGACAAAATTGTCCAAGGGTGCACAAAAACTAACCTGTTGAAGTTTCAGCTCAATGGATACTATACATTTTGAGAAACGCACAGTATGCACAATATTTGGGTCTCATAACTGGATTCCGTTGCTAATGTAAAAACAAAAGTGTGCCTGCGGGCATCCTTCAGGGTGAGTAAATAAAAGCGGAACCCAAACCCCCCCAAATATATTTCATATTTAAAGACATATGTAGCACCAAAAATAATAATGACTGGAAAGCCAATTTCATAAGCTACTTTTAGATGAAAAAAAATTAACAAAATTGCTCAATCTGTTCAAAGAATATCACCATTTAAACGAAATGGCCCTAAAACCTGTCTCATCCACCCAAAAAAGCAATTTATTGTGTGTTTTTACGTTTTTGTACAACAAAGAAACTGACACAGAATACTTGTTTCAACAACTGTCAATAACTGCAGTACACAATATCTTTATAAACAACCCTGGTTAGGCAAACAATATGATTTATAAAATCCACTTTTTTTTTTAAAAGATGGGCCTTCGAAAGGACCTTGTTGAATATTTTTAACTTTTAAACTGAGGTTTTATCGCTGGTGATGTTGGAAGACAATTGTGACAACGATTCTTGAAATTGCATTTTTGCCAAAACGAGACAGGTTTTAGGGGCATGGTGTTTAAATGGTGATATTCTTTGAACGGATTGAGCTATTAAAGTATTTTTTTCATCTAAAAGTAGCTTATGAAATTGCCTTTCCAGTCATTAATATTATTTTTGGTGCTACAAATTTTTTTAAATTTGGGGTTTGGGTTCCGCTTTTTTTTGACTCACCCTATATTTTAATGCCACCTTCAATGTTAGTTTTCTTCCGAACAATACCATTTCTGGCGACCATTTGATACCAATCCTATCTTTGCTTTGAGCAATTTTTTTCTGTCAGTAAATTGGTAGATTTTCCCGGTACCGGCTAACGATCCAACCTGGCCGTATCATAACTTTTTGTGGAAAGCACTCATAATGCAAATTTTCTTCCCTATTTTGATGACGTGGATAACAGTCCTCGCCGAATATCCCCTTCCAGGCCCCTAGCCGGCCAATTAAGTACGTATTTATTCCCTTATTAATGCAGTCCTTGAACATGCATTAACAAATTCTATTACACAAGCCCTTTAATAGTCTCTTGCGAGAATTAACTGGGCCAACAATCAAGGAAAACAAACCACATGGGAAGGAAATCCGGGATATAATTGTACATATTGGGGCATAAAAACCAGTACCCCCAAAAATAATCTTACTTCCGGTGTGGTCCGTGATGTTTATGTGGGTGTTGTTATACGTGGCCTTGATGTGTATTACTGGTAGGCGGTAGTATGGTATTCCCCCAAACTCCAGATTGTCTGTCGAAACTGGCGGGATGTAGGTTTTCCTGAAGAAAAGGGAAAAAAAGAAACAAATGCAAAGATTATTAGTACATGTCTGAGCAAAAATAGTGCAATGTGTTAGATACTTCTGTGGGAATTTTCAAATTAAAAACCAAGTTACATTGCAAATCAAAATAGATTTCACGAGTACATTCTTCTTTAACCCTAACCCCTTGGGTGTTTTTACTAGAAAGTATCCTGAATCCATCAAAATGCACCAATTTTGTCACGCAAAAAAATGCTGGTGTCCTGAGTCCATCAGAATCTACCAGTGTAGATACTGGACGTATCCTGAATCCTCCAAAAACCCACCAGCGAATTTCTAATGGATTCTGACGGATTCAGGATACTACATGTATGCCGGCATAAAAAAATTGTACAGTATGTTTCTCCATAGAGTCTTCAAAATCCATCACCCAAATGATGGATTTTGATGTCATGTTTTCGGATAGCATACTGGCTGATTCAGGAAAAAAATGCTCGCCTGGCTTACAATCCTGAATCCATCAAAATCCCCCAGTTTGTTCCATATGGAGGTATCCTGAATCCACCGAAATACTCCAAAACAGGGGTATGGATTTTGATGGATTTAGGGTGGTAGGGTTAAAAAAAAGAAAGTGCAACAGATGACGTTCGCAAAAGTCGCAATTTACACCGTGAACCTACAAAGCCCTTCAGACAACTTCCAGGATTTAAATTTTGGGGTTGGTTTTTTTCTTTTATGGGTACCTGTGTTTTACTCCAATAGGGTACCTGGTTCCCGTACTACCCATAAATGCACACCACTGCATGCAAACCTCTTAGGGAAAGCTTCAATAAAGACTTCGTGAACTGTTCGCGAATGTTCGCGAATATCTGGCTGACGCTGATGTTACATTTAACAAACGATGTGTCGGAAATTTGCCTCCTATCAAATAAAAATTTCAGGAAAATATTCGGGAACACAGCGCCTTGCTCCTGGTTTAATAACAAATACCGTGGACCCAAGAAAGCCTGAATATTACCGGAGCACTGACCGGTAGCTGGTTACGCGAACTCCGCGTACGATAGGTTCGCGCACTTCGCGAACTCAGCAGCTGTGGCATATTAGCATAGTTTTAGCATTTCAAAGGCGCATTGTCATGCGATGCAAATGAACCTGCAGAGCTTGATGTTTACTTGAAACTTGGGATCAAAATTAGTTCGCGAACTTCGCTGACCTCGCGAACAGTCAATATTGACGGCTGCCCTTAAAAACATAGCTAATTTCTCGTATACGGGTATCAAAATGTGTACATCTGGGTGTTTTTGGAGGCCTCGATTTCAATGATAACCCTGGTTTTTTTCTTTCTTAACATGTCGTGAAAGTGCAATTTGGAAACCAATATTTAAAAGCAAATTTGGTCAACCTATTTCCAAATATTAATTCCCCTTTTCACAAACATGCAATCTGAGTGAAATATGTGTGTCTCTCCTTTCACTACACAATACACGTGCACGCGCGCAATGCCTGCAATTTGTTTTAAATTAACAGTGTGCACCAATCTTGAAGAAACGCCCCGCTTATTAAATTCTCAAAGAGGAACGACTAGTGCCGGTAGGTGATGTTACCAGGTTTTTGTTATTACAGCTGAAGATGTACTCAGTGTTCTTTTGAGGCAAACACGTTGGTCCGTTTATACAGCAATATAATGGCTTTTTACTGTAGTGCACACAAATGGAGTAAGTCCGTTTAGATGCCTCCTGCATCTTGTGTAAAAAAACACAACAGTATTTTACATGTAAGCCCTTTTTCATGATGCTTCAATCCCATGGGGTTTTATGTAGGCCACGGTAACAATACCGGTACGATGATGAAAAAAATCCATTAAATTTGCATTTTCATGTAATTTGCAATACCCGGTACTCAATTTTAATTTGCGTTGAATTTAACGAGACAAAGATGGTCCAGGAGAACACAAGTCTATTCAATTGACTTAGAATGGTTATTCACTGGAAGTCTTTTCATGCATCTGGTGTACTCAAATTCGACTGGACCACTACAAGGTAATCCTATACAATAGCACTGCCCAGCTCTCTTCATTCAGGCTGCAACCAGGGGCCAATTTCCATGGAGCTGCAAAGCACAAAAATTTGCTTAGCACAAAAAAAGTTTGGCTTATAAAAACAGGTTACCAGCCAAAACTCCATGTTATTTTCATGCTGAGCAAACAATAGCTGAATACCAATCACAAGCAATATACCAGTACATCTCGTGGAGTTTTGGCTGGTAACCTGCTATTATAAGCCAGACTTTTTTTTTGCACTAAGCAAATTTTTTGTGTGCTTAGCAGCTCCATGAAATTGGCCCCAGGCTACGTCACAAGTGACAATCAGTCAGTCAGTCGGGGAGTCAATCAGTCGGGGAGTCAGTCAGTCACAAAGAGGGAACTAGGCTAGCCCTCTGGGACCAGCAAAAATAATATAAACCCACAAATGCACACGGGCAGTTTTTGTCAATTTTATGTACACTGTACCAGTACCTTGGTATGAGATGCTTTTAAATACATCTGTTACAATAAAAACTACATGTAGGCGTCTGCATAAATTATACAAAATATATGCACGTCCAAAAAACAGAAGAAAGAAAAGGGCGAAACCGACATAATTTACAACCATATGGTACCGAATTTCCAAACAAACACACCGATATAAAAATGCACTGTTGCCTTATCCCGTGGGTGTTTTTCAATTACAGTACATGTTGGGAGTCCTGCCCCAGTGCGCGCATAGCTAATAAACCACTGATCATATCCGTACAAAAAAAAACCGCCCATGCATAATTCATTGCTTTGTTACAAAGCAGTACAGGTACATCTGATGAGGAATAATAACTCTGATATGGAGACACTGTCTAAATAATTTTTGAAAGGTGTGCGCTAATTGTGCAACTGTTTGGACAATATAATCCACATCACTCTGAACGTTTTGTCGTTCTCTGGGGGCGGGAATTAAGGCTTTGGATCGTGTTTGTAAGAGGTGTGTGAAGATGGATCAAAACATAGACTTGTTGTCAGGCTCTTCGTGAGTGAAGTACATGTACAAAACTCTTGGAGTTTTTCCATGCATATAACATGCATCTACCGGTACATGTAGTGATGTGTCTTGAACATGCATTGCTCACTTGCACAATGCAGTATTGAGAGATTCAGTGGTCAAAAGAAGGAGCCGATTCGTGTGTCCTTACAGAATCAATGGCCAAATACAAAACCTTTCTACACATGAAACAATTAAATATTATCAGCACTACTGCATCCATTGGTAAATACGGCAATGTTCATATGTACCTATCTTCAAGCAAACTTGAATCCTCGATCCTGATTGGTTAATCCATGGCAACAACAGAGTGGCATTATCCCGTATATATACATGTACTGTGGTCCATATCACACTCCATGTATCGTGCTATTCTAAAAATCCTGCTGCATGTACATGTACGTGTAACAGGATAAAAAGTCCATATATGCTGAAAAGCTTGTATACTTGCGTGCGCGTGTTCTACACTGTGCGTCAAATTTTGACCTCGTGGCATATGGGAATCCGACGAACTACATTATTCCGTGTTCCACTCGCACTTATGGGATAACTCAATAAAATTGATTTCAAAGTTTAAACTATTTTATATTTTATGGGCAGGTATATCACTCTTGGAAATGGAAGGCATTATCCCCAACCCCTTGGGTATCTGTACTAAAAAGTATCCTGAATCCGCCAAAATCCACCAATTATGTCACACCAAAAATATTGGAGTCGGTGACCTCTCAATATGGAGGTATCCTGAATCCATCAAAATCCTGCAGTACCGCTAGGCTTACAATCCTCAATCCATTCAAATTCCCCCGTTTTCAATATGGAGGTATCCTGAATCCGCCAAAATTCTCCAAAACAGGAGTATGGATTTTGATGGATTCAGGGAGGTTAGGATAGAGAATGTGTTCTGAAATGACAAAAACTTATATCAGATGTAACAAAAAAAAATTGGACCTCAAATTTATGGAATGACCCAAATACTAAAATGTACACTGTTTAAATGAAAATGGGTCCTGTAATAGCACTCCGCGATAATGACGTCAATTTTGCTCCGCGCCGTACGCGCGCATACCCCGGATGTCAGACAAACTTTCGAACAATCACGCGCGCACATAAACGTGTGTTCATCGTCGATCATGGACATCCTATTGTCCCTCTTTTGTTTGTACTCTAACTTTTTAGGAAGACTCCGACCCCAATCGCGGATGTATGCTGGGAATCGTGGATGATATTGTTCTCTTTTGTTCTCTGGTATATTTCGTCCACGGTTTGAAAAGATGAACACGTACACATGCATGCACACCTGACCGCATACATTCGCGTAGAAACGGTGTTGCAAGCGTGCGCGCAATCTTCACACGAGAAGTTCGTACAGCATGCTTGTCTGAGATCTACTTGCTTCTATTTTTAACATTAGTGCAGAGTGCTATTCTTTTGTCTGTCTACACATGGATGAATACGAACGGATAAACAAGTTGGGGTGACGACACTTGATGCAAGAGACTGTCAAGGGAGGCACTCACGATCCTTCTCCTTCAACCAAAACACCATGCCGACATCTGACAAGAACACATCTTTTCTCTGTTATCAATTTACATACACGTGAAAGTAGCCTACATACACACAAACAGTGTAAACTCCTCTGCAAAATACAGTCATCCCTTTTTTATAAACTTCATTCCCACAACCTTTGGTCCTCCTACCTATCCTTGGGGAGAACGCAAAATATTCCAAGAAGCTGTCCCTCCTGCTCAAGCAATCTTGGCGGCCCGACCTTTGCCCTCTGCATATACCAGTATATACACGTAGTACATGTAGGCCCAGCATTTTAAAAGGACGGTGTGTAGTACTTGTAAATACATCGCCTTGCGGCTTGTTTACTTGTTCAAAGGTAGTAGAATACAGGAATGCATGCCCTGGATGTGATTTTTGAACTGAGACATTCTAAGTAAATATC